GGTTCCGTAGATTTTAGTGTCTTTTCACATCCTGAACTTTTATATTTGGAAATCCATAGTTTTTCTATAAATTTACACTTTACTGCAACAAACTCGACACGTTGTCGTCCACTCGAATCTGCGCACGCAAGTTGGTTGTTGTTGTCTTCTTCTAAACGTGTTTGCCTCTGACTGTGGGAGAGGCTGGGGACGTGATCTCGTTCAGGTGTCCGTTTGTTTAGTGTTTGAATCCATACTTCCATCATCACAAAAGTGAAAACGGAGAGCTCCAAATACTACTGTACGGAAATCTGAAAATCTTTCATTTAAAGTTTTGTTTTTGAGACCCGCACGCTTAACAATTCAGGATCTTTGTATCTTTGTCAACAATGAAGCTTCACCCTTTCTCACATGACCACAACAAACCAAGATCCAACTTGTTGAAGACATGTTAGCGATGGTCAGTGTGGTGTTGGGGCCACAGCACTGACAGCACAAACATCTATATGTGCTATAGGACCTCTTATGGTTTATGAAAAGCCCCACGCCAGGAATCTATATGTGCTATAGGACCTCTTATGGTTTATGAAAAGCCCCACGCCAGGAATCTAGGATTTATTATTGACAGCCATTTTAATTTTGATAAGCAGATAAATGCTGTTCTTAAAACAAGTTTTTATTATCTCAGAGTTCTTAGCAAAGTAAAATCTTATATTCCACATGCCCATTTTGAGAAGGCCATTCATGCTTTTATCACTTCCAGGCTTGATTATTGTAACTCTCTCTATGTCGGCATTGACCAGGCCCAGCTCAGCCGCTTACAGGGAGTGCAAAATGCAGCAGCCCGTCTTTTAACAGGGACAAAGCGCAGGGAGCACATCACTCCTGTTTTGCAAACCCTGCACTGGCTCCCGGTATATTTTAGAATTAATTTTAAAATTCTTATTATCGTTTTTAAAAGTTTTAATAGAATGGCACCTTCTTATTTATATGAACTCCTCCAGCCTCACCTTCCCTCCAGAGCACTGCGCTCTGCAGATCAGCACCTTCTTGTCGTCCCTAGGACCAGGCTGAAGACCAGAGGAGACAGAGCTTTCTCTGTTATAGGGCCAAAGTTGTGGAACTTTTTACCTTTGCACATCAGAACTGCACAATCACTCGAGCACTTTAAATCCCTGCTTAAAACGCATCTTTTTTCTTTGGCTTTTACTACCAAGTAGACAGAGACAAATTTTTTGATTTCTTTTTGTATATACATTTCTGTATTTTATGTGTTTTTATTTTATAATTTTTCCTCGCTGTCTGTTCAGCACTTTGGTAAGCCTAGGCTGTTTTAAATGTGCTCTACAAATAAAGATTTGATTGAAACATCTGGATTGTATTCATGTAAACATTTAATTGGTAATGGAGATGATCGGTGATTTGAGTAAACACATTCCAACGCAAAAGAAACTCCGTTCTACAGAGTGTACATAAGCCTTTCTGTTTTTCTACCTTTCCTTGTGACAAATGAACAATAGCAAACTCAGCAGTAGGAGTAGATACCTACATCCTTTTAAGGCACCGAGAAGGCTGCCGTTGACAAATATGCAAGGAGTCAAAGGCAGAATCTGAAATGAGCTCAGGACAAAACAAGGCTGGTTAGAGCATATGACCATAAGAAAGCACAATACATTGCACATGGATGCCTGCGTGTGCACACAAACATGTGTGCATGGCCCTCTGAGGAGCCCCAGGCCAAGAGGGAATAATGGTTAGCAACCTGAAAAATGCCCTCATCACAAAAGGCTGCAGACAGTAATAAATGAAATGGTTGAGCCAAACACATTAATCCACACCAGCTCCATTGTGTAGTTATGCTTTCACTGGTTTGATACACACACAACAAGGCATACACTGTAAATGTTCTTAATGCTGCTCTATCCAACTGGAATTTTGATGAGAGAAAAGAAATTGACGTGACGTGAAATATGCTTCATAAAAAAAGAAAGACATTTTGGGCAATTATAATCTTTAGTTCCATGAAAAGCTTTAAAGTCATAATAGGATTTATTTATTTATTTTTTTAAAACACACAATCCAGATGTGTTACAACACTGCCTTCTCATGTCAATGGAGATTCAGATTTAAATTATATTATATATATATATATATATATATATACATACACACATATATATACATACACACATACATATATATATACACACACACACAACAATAAATATTGTCAAACATCCGTCCTGAGTGTGTGTGCGCGCGTGTGTTAATAAAAAACTCAAACATTAACAAAATTGGTAACATAGTATTTTTAGCTCAAAAATATGAAAAATAATAGCCACAAATTGTAAATCAACCGTAACCTTTGAGGAGCTTACATTAGTTCTGTTGACGCATGTTCAGTCTCCTTTCTGCTGCCACTCCTGTCCATTAATTCCTAAACTGTATAATCTTTCTCTTTGTGTCTAAACTGTGTATTTTTAGTCACCTTGTTCATTTCCTCATTCTCTTTACCTTGGCCCCGTCTCTCTCTCCAAACTGTGTATATTTGGGTCTGTCTGTGGGGAGTCAGGGGTCATTATTAATCTTGCGAGCTCTCCTGGCTCCAGGCGTAACAGCGGGGCAGAGTGTGTGTGCGTCAGTGTGTGTGCGTCAGTGTGTGTGCGTGTCAGTATGAGTGTGTCTGTGTGTGTATCAATGTGTGTGTGTGTCAGTGTATTTGTGTGCATGTTTGTTTGTGACAGTGTGTGTGTGTGTGTGTGAGAGTGTGAGTGTGTGACAGTGTGTGTGTGTGACAGTGTGTGTGTGTGTGTGAGAGTGTGAGCGTGTGTCAGTGTGTATGTGTGAGAGTGCGCTTGCCAACGAGTCAGTTACGTCCATTCAACTAAAGGTGTAAGAACATGCTTCTTTTTGGAGAACATTGTGGGCATACCGGTGTTTAGCCGTGTGTACGCTAAAGCAAACGTTTTGCCGTGATAGATCATGAGAGAGCCACATTGTTAATGCATAGTCGCACAAGACAGACACCCATGAGAAATGAGAGGGGCAGTGTGAGGGGCTCAGGGGGAGGGGAGAGAAAAGGGGTGACAGGGAAACTGAGCGAAGCAGAGAGAGTCCCTTTTCCTCCTGAACTCATTAACCGTTGTCCTCTCTGCCCTCCCTCCCTCACTCCCACAATGCTGAGCAGCGGCGTGCATCAATAACACCATGACAGCACGAGGGGGACGGGTCAGACAAGCAACCGCCATCTCCCTGGCAACCATAGCTGCAACTACCATTGCCACGACAACAATTGGCGAGCACACATGGGGGGTATCCCCCTTCCTGCTGGCCGCGCTGCCTCCTGCAGCCAGCGCACAGCGAGGGCTGCCTGCGCGCTGCTGCTGGATCACAAGCGGCTAAATCCACAGCACGACATCGGCACGGGATGAGGAGCGAAGACTCGGACTGATCTGGATTCAGGATGAAGAGAACGGACTCTGAGCAGCGTTACGCCACAGAGGAGGAGGCTTAGGAACGTGCTCAGGTGGATCACTCCTGCCATTAGTTTGAAATTAAAATGGGAAACAAAACATTACTTCAAAAATGGGTTTTGTGGTGTGTCACTGGTCAGTCTAAAACACACACAGACTTTAGAAGACAATAACAAATCTACATTATTAGACCTTATTATTTTCCATATTTTAGTTTTTATACAAATACAGCCTTTATATTTTTTTGTTCTTTAAATTTCAATTCAATGTGCTGAAAAATGTTCTGTACAATGGAAATATTTAACATGATGACCAACCATTAAAAGTAATTAGTTGAGATTCTGGAGTTAATGGTCAGACTAAATCTGGGTCACTCCTACTATTTGTTCCCCTAAAAAGAGATGACCTCTGAATTGTCTGACAGTGTGAGTGAGCATGCATGTGTGTGTGAGGTGTGTGTGTGTATGAGAGAGAGAGGTGTGTGTGTGTGTGGCGTGTGTGAGAGGTGTGTGTGTGTGCCTCTAAATGAACATCCAAGAAATATTTTTTTTAAATCAAGATTTAGGATTAAGATTGAAATATAGAGTAAGAAAAACATTCTGCTGAAATATAATGCTGATTAATCCAGTATTTTAAGTAGGTTTCTATAAGAGCTAAATATTCTACCATGACAATGTTTTCATTTAAATAATAGGATTTTTTTTTAAACCATCAATGAAATGTTTTATTTATTAAAATGCATAATTGAAGGTCTTCTGTGTGATTGCGTTCTAGGATTCTGGAAATAAGATTTGATTGTTTGTTTACGTTCAAGAAATCCTTTAACAATGTAGAAGAGGTCTGTGTCACACACTGGACCTGTCATTTCTATATTTACAAAGATTATTGAAGCAGTGCATTTCTTCATGAATAAGAATTTAGTTTTAGTTACAGGTTTGACATTTACAGCCTTTTTGAGTTAATGGTTCTAGTTTGAAAAGTGAAACATGGATAAACGTTTTGGGAAAGACTGATGTTTGTCTGAACCTGAATATGAACAAATCAGCTTCAGATTGTGATCATATCCTTTTGTTCACTGAAGACATAACATTTTAACTGCTCCAAGGAGGATGTAAACAATGGGAACTTTGCACTTTACATAATTGTGAACGTTGAAAACAGGTACATTTAATGCATTAAAGCAAACGGCCTGAATAACACTGAACAGTTTGTATCAATACAACCTTCGGTAAAATGCATGTAGTAAATGCCCATGTCCCAAACGGTTCGTTATGGTATGTTTAAGTATGGTGATGGTTTCATGGTATTTCTCAGAGCGACAGTAACATGGGAGTGTTGTTGTGGGACAGACCGTGTGCGGCTGACGCCGTGTGCAGCAGCGCAGCGGCGGACACGGTCTGAACTCAGATGAACAAACACAGATCAGCGAAGGAGGAGGCTGCTTCAGAAACACTGTCTAAGATGCGGGTTAAATCAGTACTTATCGTGTCTCTGCGTTATGTGTTGCTCAAAGCATCGTACGGTGCGAAATGTCACGCGTCTCCATAAATGAAGCAGCGGCGGCGCCGCGGCTGCCGCGCGCGCGAGCCACGGAGCTCGCGAGAGGGAGATTTCCGCTCCTCGCGGACGGAAAAACAAGTGGAGGAAGAAGAGGGCGGGCTGAGCGCGCCAGCTGGACCAATCACACGAGCAGCTGCTCTACATGCAGCTCTCAGCCAATGGACGCTCATCTCAGCCCCATGGCCCCACGTGGGATATGAGAGCCCAAAGACAACAAGCGGGCTTCAGGCCAATCAACTTTGGCCAAGGTGTTAATCTTGATCCCGATTGGCTGGTTGTGTTTCACAAAGTCCGCTCACTCATCACGTTTAGTCCGTTGTTATTAACCCTTTCCTACCACATGGGAAGGTGCTTCTCTGCCTATAAATCACACACCGCACTGTAATAGTCAAATGTGAATTAATAAATGATTCAGAGGCGGTTTGTTTTTAGAAACACGATACATCAGTTAATCCGGACTGTTTCTCAGTTGTTTGAGACATTTAAAGGAAAAGAGAAGTGCACCGAGTCTGAGCCCACGAGGCGACCAGCCCGGATCCCGCTGCAGCCTTTAAACCCTGGCTTGCCCTCATCATAATCAAATCAGCATGCACGGAAACCTATGGGATTAAAAGCACATGAGAGGAGCAAGCATGCAGTGAGCTATAACCACATTCACACATCCAGGGTCTAAAAGTGTACGGTCCAAGCAGCTTCTGCTCGTCTCATGTGTGAAGCCCTCACAGGCATCTAGGTTAAGAGTGAACATTATAATAACACAAAGCCCCGCCCTTCATTTTGAATTTACTCACGATGTTTACAACTGATAAGACTTTCCCTGTTCGTTGGCGTCGTACCGTTTCTCCTAAAGCACAAGACATTAAAAGCAGCCATTTTAAATAGCACTAAAGTCCTCCCCTCCTACGCTCTGCAGTCACACAGGCACCAACACTGACACACCAAGCATCAATCTTCTCTCGCTTTTTTTGAACTCCAAAAAATATATAGGCAGTGTTCTTATAAATGAATTACAGAAGGTTAGTACTGCCCCAAAGAGGGAGGTTTGAGAATTGCAGGAAACAGCCTTGAAGTGCAATGAATAAAAAGGAATACCCATGAAATCCCCCAAAGCAAAACGCTAATGAGACAAAAATGTTGCTAATTAATTATAAGCTACACAAAGAAGTGTAGATGTTTAAAGTATATCTGTGGAAAAACCCATTCATTAAAACATTTTTGTCTTGTAAAGCAAAAGGTCAGTAAGTAGAATCCTAGAATACCTCCTCAATGTTCAGGTGTGCGTCTCTGAGTGTGTTTCTCAATGTGGGATTGTTTCACTTTTTGATTTATAAATAACATTTTATTGATGAAATTCTTGTCTTTCTAAGCAAATATGTGTTCTTCATTTCTGGGACACCACCACACAGACGTCAATGGTTTGCGCTGGACCTCCCCAAGCACTCATTTTCATGATACTTGAAATGTGAAAAGTCACATACATTACATTGTTGTACACAAACACTGACTAAATACTATTGGACAACAAATCCATAAACACTTTAAACACTGGAACAGGTAAATGCGGAGCTAAAACAGAAAGTACCCCCTGCAAACCCAAAGGCACATCCTATTTATTCAGTTCACAACCTTTAAATTGAAGCAACTAGATGAGGAGAGAAGAGACTGAATTGAGGTGTGTGTGATTGGGTGTGTGGGAGGGGCGGCTCCTGGAGCAATGGGGCACTGTGGGGTACAAGGGAGCACCCCGCAGACTCCAGTAATGGCAGAATAGAACTTAATAGGGTAGAAAAACGCTAGAGGCTGTTAACTTACAAGCGGTCATTTTGAATTGGCCATTCTCTTCTTCCCTCACTTATTTTCCTTCTTGTCCTTTTCCTCAAACACTACGTCTTAAACTTTCAGGCCAGTGTCATTAACAATCTCAAACTCTTCCTCGCTTCCTTGTTTCCTTTTCTCTCCTCTCCTTTTGCATCCTCACTATTCACTCCCCCTCTCGCTCCTCCCTCCGCGTGTCTCCTTGGAGGAGGTGTAATGATAGCTATTTGAGTGTCATCAGAGAGCGCTGTAATGGCTTCTAAAGCACCATCCCACGGTTGCCACGGTGAACCTGGCACAGTCGCCATCCCAGAATAAGGGAGGGGGACTAAAACATGTGGTAGGCTACGGACAGGCATCAGGGTTGAGACGGTAGCGGAATATGAAGTCACTGACGCAGCCCCTGGGGACCGCAAACAGCAAAGCTAATGATGCGTGGGATAGGATACATATGACAACTGTAGTAACAGTGATAATAGTCATGAAAATAATAGCAATCATAACCATAACAGTTTAGATCTTTTGTTTATAGAGTAATATGCATGTCCTTGTACCTCTGCCATTTCTGGTGTGTGTGCCATTTTCACAACAGGGTTTTCTCAATTCAACTACACACACTATACATTTTTAAAAATATCTGTATGTAAATGTATACTTCCTCATGATAAAGCACTCACTGGCTACTTAATGCCTCATGATTCTACTTTAATCACAAGTTTATAACAAAACATTCCATTGCATTTGTTCAAACTAGTCTTTTTCAGAGGACATGATACATATTTGCTGCTCATTTTTTATCACTGAAATGTATTTGCTTCGATATAAACTTCTGCTTATGGACTCAATCTGTCTTCTAAAGTGGCCCTGGAAACCATCAGCCTTATGTATGCATCTGCGTCTGGCATTGTTCATTAGGTTTCATCTCACAGTTCAAGTCTGGGTCAATTTGAGTAAATCTTCGGGCGGCTGTTTTACGGTGAACCGCGGGACCCTTTATTGACTGGTGTGTGGCGTTGACAGAAATGTTGCTCTGGGTCAGTGATCACGTGTGCACGTTCCTCGCGACTGACAACCCTGTATTTTTGTCTCCTTGTGCGTCTGAGGCCCGAGTAGAGGGAGCGCGGCGTAGATTAGCCAGGCTGAAATGATTGGGTTGAGGATTAGAAGGATTCTGGAAGAGACATGTCTGTTTACCTTCCAAAGAAGTCTGATAATAGGCCGATTGGCGGGGCTTGATCACACACATACACAATCCCTCCATATGTTGATTGCTTTGTTATTGTTGCCCCCACAAACACCTGCCCATCTCCGCTGCTTATAAAAGCTGCACTTCCTCGGCCAGGCCAGACACATTTCCCATTAGATCTGACCCAGGGAGAGAGCTTGCAATCAGAGACGTGTAACCCAAGACGCAGCATACTCAGGTAAGGGGAGCCGAGCTGGCCTGAAGGCACAGGGAGCGATCCGGTTACCCCCTGCAGTAAAAAGAGTGCATATTGCCGGGCTTGTATTGTTACCTGTGCCGCAGAATGAGGTAGAAGGGAGAAAGGAAGGATTATTCACGTGGCGGGTGAGAAAAAGACGAGAGAATATAGGGGACGATGGCAGGAAAAAGCGACAGGGAGAGGCTTAAGATTACACACCTTTAGACTTCCTTTTGTGGTTCATCTTGACTGGAGCAATTTGCAGGACGGATGCAGATGCTCGCTGATCAAATTGCCATCGGACAGAGGCACAATGCTTGATCTCGGAAAAAGGAAGAATAAGATATCTTGTGGGGACTATTTTACCAGTCAATAACAAGCAAGAAATGGAGTGAAGAGCCGGACAAGAGAGCGAGTGAGCTGGGACAGACTAAAAAGGTAAGTCTGGAGCAGTGAAGATAAGCAGCCAACACACAAAATTAGTCTACAGGGGGAAAAACCCCAAAAGTCCAGGCTGAGGAGAGATCAAGGCCGACTTGAGTCTTTGCTGTCTCAAACCTGATTAAGGAGAGAAGAGGAGGTGGGAAGGGGTGCAAGGAGACCAAGAAGTAGAAGTATGAGAGAGAAAGAGAATTACAAGTGGACGCCTGGTGAATGAAGCCTCTTAAATCTGGGATCTTGGAATTATAGCCACAGAAAACTGCAAAGAGGAAGCGCACAAAACCACAGTAAGTAAATTAGGAGGTTGTGTGGCTGGGAAAACGTGTAATGAAGCCATAGGTGGGGGAAGGGATTTGTGGTCGTTCAAAGTGCTTTTTTTATTGAACCGTAATGGATTGATTTCCTGTCCGTAAGAATTCACGTGACATCATTCATGACCTCATATATTCAACTCTGGGAATATGATTCACAGCAAAAACAACATCCACAACAACACTCTCAGCGTTTCATTTACAGGTCTGTCTGTGGTGTTCTTCTGCTGTAGGTAACGATGCCTGCAAATGGAAACCTCCCCCTGAAGTTGCAGTTTGGGCTGATAAACCACGAGGGTCGCTATCTCACTGCAGAGAGCTTTGGCTTTAAGGTTTGCCACACACAAAATTAATCAAACTGGCAAGGCGTCCTTTTTCACGTCAGTTATTATACAAACAACACATTTTCTACAGAATTAGATGGAGTGGAAGCGGCCCCAGCTAAGATCTCTTTTGTGTCTTGCTGTGATTGGTTTTGAGGCCGAATAAATCAGTTGAATTGATAATTACTTAAGTCACAATAAAACATGTTGATATAAAAAAATAATGTTGGGAGAAATTCTTAAAGCACTGTAAGAAAGATTGTGTATCTTATAATAATAATATAAATAACACTAATCTTCACCCGTTTTGGATCGTGAAACGAAAAATATTCTAAATTATTTGTTTATTAGATCATCTTAAAGCTAATAACAATGGATTAAAGGTGAAGTAAGCGTTGTTAGCTTAGCCGTAGCACCAACTGAAAACCACGCCCCCCTCCCCTCCCTCTCCACCAAACCAAACATCCAGCATTTTCTTTTCTTTGTCACAACAGAGAGAGTGGGCGGCAAACGTGAAATTGGCATTTTCTGTTCAGCCCTTTTAGGTTTTAGAAAATAATCCAATAACTCAGGTGCGCACACTCGCAAGAAACAGGAAGAGGGTAGAGGGGGTAAACACATCCCATTGGTTCGTTGGAGATGAACGAATCCCATTGGTTTATTTTTATTGGTCCGCTCGAAAATATTTTGTATTAATTTTTGCGGACTATAGACATCTGGTCAATTCCATTACACATGAAAAGTTACTTTTAGGGTTTTCCCACAATATTAAAAAAATTTGTCTGGAAGAAATCAGTGACTGCATCTTTAAGTTAATAAAGACAGGAATGACATTGTGGCCAGAAGTGTGAATATGATGTAGGATTGTGAAAAGTATCAAAAAAAACATTGAGAATTAAGTAAAACTAGTAGTATTGAAACTAGATATTCATTTGAGAAAGAATCAATGCTAAAAAAAAATAATGACAAAAACAAGACGACATTTAACCTCCTTCACAAATACTACTATACTATATACTATATCATAAGAGCAAGTACAAAACCTTACAGCCACATGAAAAGCATTATTTTGTAGAGGTAAAACATTACATTTATGAATCTTTTCTGTGGCGTCGGAATTGGTATCGAGTATTTTCTTGTGCTTTTTCTGCACAGATGAATGCATCAGCGCCCAGCCTAAAGAAGAAGCAGGTCTGGACTCTGGAGCACGACTCACAGGACTCTCAGGTGGTGTACCTGCGTAGTCACCTGGGGCGCTACCTGGCCTCCGACAAGGACGGCAAGGTAAGCTGCGAGGCCGAGGGACACAACTCCAACTGCCGCTTCCTAATAGTGGCGCAGTCGGACGGCCGCTGGGCTCTGCAGTCCGAGCCACACCTGCGCTTCTTTGGGGGCTCTCGGGACTACCTGTCCTGCTTCGCACAGTTCATCAGTGACGCAGAACTATGGGCGGTACATTTAGCCTTGCATCCACAGGCCAACTTGCATTCAGTGGCCCGAAAACGCTACGCCCATCTCTCCATAGAAGACGGGGAGATAGCGGTGGATATGAACATTCCTTGGGGAGTGGCCGCTCTCTTGACCTTGGTCTACATGAATGGAAAGTACTGTCTTAAATCCTGTGATGGTCAGTTTCTTAACAACGATGGAAAGCTCTTGATGCAGAGTGGGAGAGGCACAGCGTACACGTTGGAGTTTAAGTGTGGGAAACTGGCTTTTAAAGACTGTGAAGGGAAGTACCTGTCTCCTATGGGGCCCACCGGCACGCTGAGGTCTGGGCGATGTTCTAAACCAGGCAAAGATGAACTGTTCGACTTAGAGGAGAGCCATCCGCAAGTCGTTCTGACCGCTGCCAACGGCCGATTTGTCTCTATAAGACAAGGTAAGAAATAAAATCATCAATGATATTGAAAATTACTGAAAAAACATCTTGAATGTTTGGCTTGACAGGTGAAGGGGTAACACAAACCATCTGATAATTCAGCACACACATAATGGAGCATAAAGTTACAGTGGTTACTAAAGTACTCATTATCAGGACTAATGCATAAAGAACTACAGCGTGCCCCACAAAAGAAAACTGAGCTAACCATTTACAGGAAGCACAATACCAAGCGGACATGCTCAAAGAAATTGGCTGCTCTCAGCTGATTACACTCCGATAACACAGGCATTGTAATTATGGGTAATGTAGTGCATCCATGTGACATCACATAGAGAGGGGAGGATCTTTCATCAAACTCAGCAGAGATAACAATCAAACCACTTTCCATATCTCAGCTGGTCAAGGGGAAGCTCCTATATTGTAGACCTTGGACTGAGTCAAATGATAATGGATGATCTTGCACATTAAATTAGAACAAGAACATAACACTGGGGTTCTCAAACTTTTACTCAAGGACCTCCATAAAGTGGGAAATAAACTCTTGCACGTTGCATGTTGAATGGAATTTATAGCAGTAATAATTTGAGGTGTCAAAATATGCTAAAAGCATAGTAGCGTTGTTTATTTGAGTCATTTATGTGTCGTCTTGCGCCCCCAGCTTAGTGCCCCCCTGGGGGTGCCGCCCTCCACTTTGAGAAGCACTGACTTTACATGTTAAATAAACAGTCCTTCACTGCAGTGAACACTGCATAAAAGCACAGAGAAGCTATCAATCAGAGTGTGGTGGCTTAGTGCCTCCATTTCCGAACATGTTGCTCTTAGTTGTTGGAGATAATTATGTTAACATTCTGAGCAGAGCCCCTGGGCTCATGGAAACAGCTGCTTGTAACCTATACACCGCAGAGCAATGCTGTGTTGATACTTCTTAATGTATTTTCTCGACTGTCTTTTGATAGAGCTGTAGGGGAGCATTAATTGATTAGCGTGCAGACGTGATGACACAATGGCATGCTGATGGGTTACACCTGCTCCAAACTTATTTCCTCCAAACAAAACATTGTGTGGACACTGAAGTGTGGAAAGCTTCTCCACAAGGACATCTGGCGTTCCCTGTAAAGCAGGTGGGCCTGCAGAAGTTTCAGTTGGTTAGTATTGTTCATGGCGACTGGTGTGAGCTAATCTGCCCTCAATCCAGTCTCCAAAGTGCTCCTCAGCAGACTGGACCATGACACCCATCTGTAGCTGCAGATTCGAGTTGGCGGGCTTGAATTACGCGGGTTCCTGTAACAGAATCTGTCCATGCTCATTGTTCTGGTTCTGCGGACACAAACCAAATGATAGGAAACTCAGGAGATGATGAATTGAATGGATGGAGATTTTAGTCAGAGTTAAACACATAACCTTCCTAATGTATTATAATGTACACATTTAGAGTCTGGCCACACGCAGAGAGCACACCCAGCCTCTTTCTCTTCCTGCTGCTTTCTCTCTCTCTCTTTCTACACTTGTTTGGCGCAAACAAAAGCTTTATCTTTCTTCCACACACTCGCCCACACACAACCATACTGTCTTGCTGTGGTGAGTGGTGAGGTGAGGTGCAATGAATTATTAATGCAGTTGGCCCCTGTTCCTGGAAGGCTATGGGGAGTCTGCTTTCAGAAACCCTAGCTGCTCCTCACCTGGGGCCAAAGCTCCTGCCCCGCTGAGTCCCCTAATCTAACCCACTGACTCTGGTCCTATCAGAATGCTGCTGCAAATCAAGAGAACGCACTGAGGGAAACGCAAAAGGTTGAGATAACAGAAAAGTAAAAAATTAGTTTGCATTTGACATACTTTTTGAACTAACAGACTAGCTTGCTTTGATAAAGAGGAAAAGTGGAAGTGGAGGGAAGGGAGGAGAGAATGTGGGATGCATCTCAGAGGGCTAAAAGACAGATATATGCAAGAGCAGCGGAAACAGGTGATCCTTATCCTTATAATTTAGCAGCTTGTGACTTTGCTGGATGAAAATAAGTATGAAATCAAGTGAAATGGACTGAAAACAGGTAAAAGGTTACACAAGTGAAAGTGCGTTGGCTACAATGACACGTTTAGGCGCTTTTGTTGGCGTTAGCATCTGTCATCACAATTCTTGTCAACTCCTCGTTTCCTTAAGCCCAAGTGCTGCACTCTGGCTGAAACAGCAAAAGAGCTGATAGCACCAGACACAAACTTTCCATTAATGCGCATGGGATATCACACACACACACACACACATGCAAGCGTAGTGTACAAATGGGATGAATGCATGGGCAGGCACAGGCAGCCTCCAAAACAGATGAGCGTAAAATGAATAAAAGATTAATGAAAAAACAGCAGCTGTAGTTGTGAAGGGGTGATGGAATTGGGGAAAAGAAAGAAAAAGGAGAAAATGAGGGACAGGGGGATAGTGGCATCAGCTATCCATTAATAATAGATGTCAGAGCCGTGCATGGTTGATGGATTAGTTAGGCCTGCTCCACTTGCAAGCTGCAGGTAGGACGGCAGCAGAAAGTGGAGCCGGACTCGCCGTTTTCACTGCGCGATAGAAGTTTCATGTCAACATCTGATAAAACGTGCCTGACCAACCTCTGTTTCAAAGATGGTCATCAACATGTCCATTGATAGGCCTCAGATTGGGGCTTTGGGTTTCAGTGTATCCAATCTCTCCTCCTCCGTCGTGTGGCGCTTCCTCTCATCTGTCAGAGCAGGCCGCGGCGGGGTCCCAGCTGAGCCCTGTCGGAACATCATTTCTGGGTTGAATTAGTGTGAAATGGATACGTGGAATAGGTAGACAAAGCATGACATTGAATTGGGATGAGAGTGAATGAGAGTGATAAGGCACCAGGCGAAGGCCCAAACGTGTGCTCTGAATGCACAGCAGATCAATGGTGTTTTAACTAGTCCCACAGCCTCACCGTTCACTTTATCAGCTGAGAGAGAGGGGTGATTAAGGCTTAGTTACCATGACATCACTGCCATTTCACCCAAATAGAGCAGAGGTATTTTAGAGAGTGGCACAATGAGAAAATTGACTTCATTTGACCATAACAAGCATGATAAATGATTTTTCTATTTTCTCACACCTAAAAATAATCTCTCCAAGACAAGGCTTGTATAAGAAAAACATGTACACTATTGGCTTTGCAAGAGACTTTCATTTAATACAATAATAGTTACGACATACATATCAGAAATAAAATCCTTAATTAAAAATCCGTTCCGGCCTCCACTCAAACCAGCTTTTTTAACAGCTGCTGTCAAAACATCATGCTGACGAGATGACTGAGATGCATTTATTCAAACCGTAGTCTTGCTTAAAAACAAGTCTGACTAACTGAGCACTACTCAAGCAATGACAGGAAAGCAACAAGAGTGTTCATGAACCATAGCAGCGGCCAGTGGCCAGAAGCAAAACTACAACATACAGTGACCCAATTCATTTATGATCCGGATAACTAATAATCATCTTTCCCTTTTAGCTGTGGCTCATAACTGACATTTGCTGAAACCAACGTTGAAGACAGGAGAGTTTTGTTTTTTGAAGGAAAAGGTGTTTTTTGAATTCTCTTCCATCACAGAGGTATTATCACAGGTATTAAAATAGTCGATTTCCAAATATCAGAAGGAAGTTCGTAATTTTAGAATATAATTCAAAACTAGGAAGAAATGTTCATTAATGTGCCTTATCCCTGTTCTAACATTAAAGGTAACCCCCATTAACGCCACAGGTTCCATGTCAATAACGTCATAAAAAAGCTTTGTCCTTTTGTGCAGATGCCTTCAAACTGAAACTTCAGGTCCACTGTTTACTAAATAAAATTGCCCATATGCTTCTATTATATTGAGCAGCAACAGAGGAGTTTGCATGTTCTCTGTGTGTCTGCGTAGGTAATTAAAAACATGTACCACAGGTCAAATCCTTCAGCTATGGTCCTGACCAAGAGCATCCACATCTGCTGTACCAGAGAATACTGCTCCTGACAGAGGCTCAGAATATTTGGTCAAATGCAAATACAATAAAGTATAGAATAGATTTTCAAAATAGTGTAGTTTATTAAAGATAAAGTTCACTGTACTGGACTGCAGCCGATGCATCCCTCCACAACGCGGCTCTATTGTTAAGCAGACAATAAAGCATCTTCTCCTTTATTTCCTGAATGCTCTTGACAGCCCTTGGCCAATAGACTGTGCTCATTCATGACCACATAGGCTTAAGGTCTGAGAGAGGCGAGTAATTATCTGTGCGTCCCGCTAAGTGTGACTACAAAATCCTGCCCTTCTTTCCCGTTTCCTTTTCCCTTGTCTTTTATTGGGAGGGATTGAGGAATCGGACGGGAAGAACCCACAAGCTGATTATATCTGGGGCCTGCTGTGCGGAGGGCAGATGAGGGGCCAGAGGTGACGCCACTGGGAGCCTGGGGGGGCGGGGGTCAGCGGCGAGAAGGAATGTTAAAAAGAACTCGCCAAAAAGGAAAAAAAATTGTGGAGATTCCGAGGCTGGTTCACCGTGGATTGCGTTCAAGTGTCTTCCTTCATACTCTTTCACTATAATTATAGATTGTTGCAAACCTCAAGACAAATACAATGATATTACCAGAATTGTATATTTAATCAGTGAAAATATAATCTCCTTAGAGAAGCCAGTACAATGTCACGAGCAGATCAAGAGCTCAGTATGAGACAAAACCACTTAAAAAAGACTAAATGACTGTGGTTCAGACATGATTATCAAGTCTGCATGGGCCCAGCTAAATGCAACTATAGGCAATCTCATTAGTGAGCTATTGTCTATGTGGAACACAGGAAGAGAAGAGTGGGCCAAAATGTAACAAACCAACTTCATTTGGGAAAGAAGTACAAAACACCACTCTCCTTTCACGGTTTAATGATGTATAATTAAAGACAGGATACTTTGTTCTTTCTAGGAGTGAGTCTTTCAGCGAATCAAGAAGACGAGAGCGACATGGAGACGTTTCAGATGGAGATAGAGAAGGAGACCAACAAGTGTACGTTTCGCAGCAGCCAAGGGAACTACTGGACTCTGGTGGCCCACGGAGGGATCCAGAGCACGTCCTCTGTGGTGTGAGTACAGCAGCCTACGGGCAGGACGGAAGAGCAGGGAAACTCCGAATTATTGAAATAACAATTGAATAGTTCATTTGCAAAAACAAGTGCCATTAGAAAAAATATTGGAAAGACTTAGAATTTGCCCTTTACCAGGTCTTTTTTTGAGAAGCCAGGTGTATTTTAGTGCCATACAAATAATTTTTAACTCCTTGTTGAGAAAATCCTTTCAAATGCATTGCCATTAAGAAAATGTGAATTATTGTAGCTAAAGAAATACAACAGAGATATCTGTTTTTGCAAATGAACTCTTCAATAATAATCTCTCATTAAAGCTGAGGCCTTAAATATTGCATTTTGTTTGTTCCAACAGTAAAAGTCTTGTAAAAAATGTATAGTTGTGAACAAAGTCTTCATCTCTATAGAAAAGATTTTTTATATTTTGCACACTTGCAAGAGCCCTTTGAGTCACGATTTGACTCTTTGGGCTGAGAGCGTAGAGTGAGGGGGGTCCTCTGGTCCGATCTAAAGATTTAACAGGCCAAAAATACTGGTTAGGGTTTGGTGAGGAACTAGTTAAGACAGATGTTATATAGAGTTTCACTCTGGTCTGAGAAAGGCGCTAAATAAATAAAGATTACTTACTAATTGCGGTTTGGTCACCCAGCTTTAACACATTTTTAGTTAAGATCAGGACTGTGCATTTGAATTGAGAGTTGCATGCTATAAAATAATACTTAAGATTCAATCATCATTTGGATTGAACAAAAAAAAAATATATATATATATATATATATATAATATAATTGTTGATTTAGCAACAAGCAATTAGAAAAATCAAAACAATGGAACACTAAGAAATTGTCTCTTGGAAGTGGGAAATTACCTTGATGCAAATTGAATGGATGAGATTTAATTTCTATGATAACAGTAAAAAATGTCTACGTTTGTTAAATATCAGTAATAACTCCCCACGTTACACACTGACAATATTATTTTCATGTTCAGACTAGACTGTTTAGATTAACTTTATTAAATGTGTTTTACAGCTCAGCAGACACCATGTTTTCAGTGGAGTGGCTTGGCCAGAAGGTGGCACTAAAAGCGAGCAATGGAAAATACATTTGCACTAAGAAGAACGGACAGCTCCTGGCAGTCAGTGATTCAGTGGGTACGTTTTCCATCAACAAACTCTCTGATATGTAGAAAGTTAATGTTTTTGCTATTCTTCATAAAGGTGAGGACGAACTTCTGTCTATAAAAATGATCAACCGGCCCATGCTGATTCTGAGAGGGCAGAATGGTTTCATCTGCCACCACAAGAACTCAAACACCCTGGACGCCAGCAGATCCATATATGACATCTTTACTCTGCAGCACAGCAACGGGGCGTACCAGATCAAAGGTGAGAGGCCAAAGAATCACTGCTACTTCTGCGATTAGAGCGGTGTTACTCACAGACGCTCTTGCAGGTGCCTCTGGACAGTACTGGTACGTGAACAGCTCTCTGGTGGTGTGCTCCGACGGCGAGGCCCCAGAGGATTTCTTCATCGAACTGGTGGAGCGTGGCCGTCTGGCGATCCGGGGCAAGAACGGGAAGTACCTGCGCGGAGACCCGGGAGGACTGCTGAAGGGGGACGGACTGACTCTCAGCAGCTCCGTCCTGTGGGAGTACTAACCACAGACAATGGTTAACGCACACAACTGGATCTTAGTGAAGGGAAAGAGCGAGGACAAGACGACAAACACCCCAAGAAGCCAAGACCAGGAACTCAAAATGTCAGTATTTTATCAAGAGAAATGAGTGAATTTCTTGAGTTGAATAAATCTTCTCCACAGTTTTTTGCATGACCTAAAGAATAAAGGCCGTGTTACCTTATCTAATATTTCACAGCGTCATTGAGACTTAAACTATCCCCTTTCCTCTCATCTGGACTCAGTCTTACAACATGCGTAATGGCACTTGTCAAACGTACAGTGAATTAGGAGGTCATTTGAGCTGCACAGAGTGAGCAGGACAAGTGAGGTCAGCGTGTAAAAGCATTCATCAACACGGTGTGACTGTCAGACTATGATAGAGGACAAACTTTGGTCACATGTTGAAACAATAGAAAGTGGTTCTCCATCACACGAGTCACACAAGGATGTCCAAGAATGACACCAGATGACATCCACCGTACCATGTGGCGTGTGTATATGGTGCGCTTTATTTGCAATTTATAGAAGGTATATCAATTACACATGATCTGGAGCAGTGGTTTTCAATCGGAGAGCTACTTCCATACAACAGAAGAGGCAGGCAGCTACTCTATTTTTGCGGTCATAATAAAGATCTATAGGACAAGAGAGAACACGCTTGGAGAACACATGTAAAATATACTATAATACTGTATAACCCAATATTTAAACTTTTGCACAATCCGAGTGATTCTATCCATGCCAATTGTGACATGTACATTTGTCCAGTGTGAGATCCATTAAGTCCATCTTCTCTTATCATATAATAGATATGTAATGACTCAATATATATTAATTCAAGATCATGTGTTCAATTGTAAATCTGTTGGGAAGCTACCTGAAAGTGGCTGGCAAGCTACTGGTATCTCCCGAGCTAAAGGTTGGAGACACCTGATCTGGAGACAGGCAGATGATGAACGCTCCACCAGAAACCTGACAAAAAATGAGTAAATAGTAAATGAGTAATTACTGGCCAATAGAGCAGATTTCTGTAATTGTAAGCCAGGTCAACACGGCCATATTTACAGAGAGAGCAGTTTCCACTTTTGCAGTTCAACACAAGGTCATTTATTGCTTAATAATGCAGAATACATTTACAAACAGGGAATGATCCAAACACATCATTGTGCGATACTCAGAGTCATGAGGTCCTCTGTTGCTTCATAAAATGACCAGAGGATGTTTGCGCAGATCCTCGTACACCTTCACCAGAGATGAGGTCATCTGGCCTGAAGACACGCCCACGCTGACCGCTCTGCAGACACTGTCCTGCACCAGGCGCAGCGAGTGCTGGAAGAGGCCACGTTACACAACACAAGGAAGAAACAATTATATAACAGACACATGCAGAGGAGCAGAGTTTGTCATAACATTTCATTTGATAAATAAATACATAAATATGCTGAGTGTGCACGCTCACACAGAATTCACCTGGTGTCTGCATGTTCCATTCTAGAACCTCATTAGCGTGTCATGTCATCCGTGTTAAGCTTCAGTTTAAATGTTTATGAGCGATGTGCGTGTAACACCTACAGGTTCTTTGTCAGATTGTGAGGCTCTGGCCTAATAATACCTTTCATTATTTATTTATATCTTATTAGGGGCTTTAAAATAAATAGCCGCTAACAGAGGAATATTTACCAAAGTTACACTTGAACAGGCGTAAAGCGTAACAAGTAATTGTTTTTGAGAGTATTACCTCGGCCCGCTGCAGTGCTGCTCGCAGGCCTAAGGTCTCTGCGCTCACAGCAGAGGATGTGCTGGGTGCACGTTTCACCAGAGTCTGAGACACAAGATAAGATTATTATCACTATTGTATTTCAATCTAACTTTTATTTATCCTGGTAAAATGAGAAATATTATTTGCAAACACGACTTAGCCATAGGTAGAAAACACCTTCACACAAACAGCAACAACTTGTTAACATGAAAACAGAGTTGATAAAAAAAAATAAAACATTCATATTCAACATCATGATTTTCAAATCGGTTGGGTGTGTTCACTACAAGCTCCAAAAATGAAATTATGATAGACAACTACCAAGACTCCCACTGATGACTGCTGTCGTTGTGTCCTTGGGCAAGACACTTAACCCCACTTGCCTGAAGCCCCCACTGAAAGATCTCAGCTCCTGTGGACTCACCACCTGCAGGAGGATCAGTGAGGGGCTGGTGCTCTGTGACTGGGTGCAGCTCTGACTGCCACCCCCCCGACCCAGAAATGGATTAAGGGGAAGAAAATGGATGGATGGATGGATGGAACTACCAAGACTACTTGACAATTTGCCCTTCCAGGTATTTATGTCAAAAGGCATGACCAGTTCTTTGCATGTAGAAGTCACTATAGGGGTTTACTTTTAGTTATCATTGTGTTACGGTGTGGGGCTTTTGTGACTAACATTTGAAACCCCTTCAAATACCTGCACTCTCTCCAAGATGGCGTGGTGTAGTCCACAGACTGCACCCAGACACAGACTCTCCACCTGAACCTCCACCGCAGCCATGGAGTCCTGCCCCACACCAACTTCTACCTGAACAAAAAACATCACTTTTAATTTGAACACAATGAAAGAATGAAAAAAATCTTTGGATGTAAAAATACCTCTTTCACCATGACTTTGACCAGCTGTCTGTTTGGGCCTTCAGCATGTAGCACTGCAGTGTCGTTAGCGTGTTCCCAAACATGTCCCGAGACTCCTCTGTGAGCCTCACACAACAGCCAATCCAAAAAGGTCACACACACATTTATTGAAGCCTCCTGTTGTGCGCTTTTGGACGCAAGTGTTTGTTTAAGGAAATCCACTGACATCTGCAAACTCGCTGAATATGGTCTGTTTTCAGATTGTTCAGCCTTATTTCTTCCCTTTGACTTTAAAAACATTTGCACTGCGTTCATTGAGGAGTTGATTCTGGTGAGAGTTGTTACACGTTTCTGATTGAAAGATGGAGTCAGCCGGAGAGCGTGTAACCAGTCCACTGACAATATGTTTAATGGCAAGCTAATGGTACTGTTTTGCACTTTCAATAGACTCGCTAATTGCTTCTCATCAAAAAGACCTCCAAGTGAAAAAACTAGCACACAGCTAATTGTTATGGGGAAAAGCTTATCATCTGCTGCAGTTAGAGGCAATGTCACTTCAAATGTCTGTTCCGGATTGAGATTGCAGAACGGGAAAGAATAATTAGTGGAGGTGTTGTGTTGTGGCGAGACAGACAGAGGAGAGACGCTAATGTTCAGAGTCCAGCCGTGTTCCAGCAAATACGGAGTGGTGTTTTCGAGGACACACGAGAGGTGCAGAGAGTCCTCCTGAAGCAGCCTGCGCCATTGGGCTGAAGCCACGCACCTGATGGGATGGTCCTGTTGTTCAGAGTCACTCCACAAGAGTAAGCAGACATTGGCAACTTGGTTTAGGCGTCGTAGAATCTGGTTTTTGGATTTGATGGATATGTTCAAGTTAGATGCTCTGTTGAAGAAGAAGGGAAGACATTCGATCTAATCACTTGTTTCATCTATATAAGACGTAAAAGATACAGTATTCGGCCCCCTTGAACCTTTCAACATTTCGCCACATTTCAGGCTTCAAACATAAAGATATAAAAAAAATATTTTTTGTCATGTATCAACAACAAGTGGGACACAATCGTGAAGTGGAACAAATTTTTTTGGATAATTTAAACTTTTCTCCCCCCTGGACTGCCACCTTAACGTGGTGGGGGAGTTTGAGTACTCGGATGATCCTGGGAGCTATGCTGTCTGGGGCTTCATGCCCCTGGTAGGGTCTCCCATGGCAGACAGGTCTCAGGTGACGAGTCAGACGAAGAGCAGTCAAAAGCCAATATGGACAGCACGAAAAGAAGAACCGTGATGTCGCCCGGCATGGCGCAGCCGGGGCCCCACCCTGGAGCCAGGCCTGGGGTCGGGGCTCGAATGCGAGCGCCTGGTGGCCGGGCCTTAGCCCACGGGGCCCGGCCGGGCTCAGCCCGAAAGGACGACGTGGGCAGTCCCTCCTGTGGGCCCACCACCCGCAGAGGGGTCCGTGGCGGCTCGGTGCAGAGAGGACTGGGCAGCAGTCGAAGGCGGAGACCTCGGCGACCCAGTCCGCACACCCAACATCTGGCTCTTGGGACGTGGAACGTCACCTCACTGGGGGGGAAGGAGCCCGAGCTTGTGGGGGAGGTCGAGAGGTACCGACTAGAGATAGTCGGCCTCACCTCCACACACAGCTTGGGCTCTGGAACCCAACTCCTTGAGAGGGGTTGGACGCTCCACTTTTCTGGTGTTTCTCGCGGGGAGAAGCGGCGAGCTGGGGTGGCCATCCTCATTGCCCCCCATATCAGGGACAAGTCTCTCACTGTTGTGACGGCCTACGGGCCTAACAGCAGTGCAGAGTACTCGGCCTTCTTGGAGTCCTTGGGAGGGGTACTGGACGGTGCACCGCCCGGGGACTCCGTTATTCTCCTGGGGGACTTCAACGCCCATGTGGGAAATGCCAGTGACACTTGGAGAAGGGTGATCGGGAAGAATGGCCCCCCTGATCTGAACCCGAGTGGTGTTCAGTTGTTGGACTTCTGTGCTAGTCACGGTTTGTCCATCACGAACACCATGTTTGAGCACAAGGGTGTCCACCAGTGCACGTGGCACCAGGACACACTAGGCCGGAGGTCGATGATCGACTTTGTTGTCGTATCATCTGACCTTCGACCGCGTGTTTCGGACACTCGGGTAAAGAGAGGGGCGGAGCTATCAACCGATCACCACCTGGTCGTGAGTTGGATCCGCTGGCAGGGGAAGAAGCCGGTCAGACCTGGCAGACCCAAGCGTGTAGTGAGGGTCTGCTGGGAACGTCTCGCTGAGACCCCTGTCAGACGGACTTTCAACTCACACCTCCGGGAGAGCTTCTCCCAGGTCCCGGCGGAGGAGGGGGATATTGAGTCTGAGTGGACCATGTTCTCTTCCTCTATCGCCGATGCGGCGGCTCGTAGCTGTGGTCGCAAGGTCTCTGGTGCTGGTCCCGGCGGCAATCCCCGAACCCGGTGGTGGACACCGGCAGTAAGGGATGCCGTCAGGCTGAAGAAGGAGTCCTATCGAGCCATGATGGTTCGGGGGACTCCTGAGGCAGCTGTCCAGTACCGGCAGGCCAAGCGTGCCGCGGCCCGGGCTGTTACAGAGGCAAAAACCCGGGACTGGGAGGAATTCGGAGAGTCCATGGAGCATGACTATCGGTCGGCCTCAAAGAGATTCTGGCAAACTGTCCGGCGCCTCAGGAGGGGGAAGCAGTTCTTTGCCAACACCGTGTACGGTGCGGGGGGTGAGCTGCTGACCTCGACCGGGGATATTGTTGGACGGTGGAAGGAATACTTTGAGGTTCTCCTCAATCCCCCCGTCACGTCCTCCGCTCCGGAGGCAGAGGCTGAGGATGTTGGGGCGGATACTTCTGTCACCCTGGCAGAGGTCACCAAGGTGGTTGGCAGCCTCCTTGGTGGCAAGGCGCCGGGAGTGGATGAGATCCGTCCTGACTATCTAAAGTCTCTGGATGTTGTAGGACTGTCTTGGCTGACACGTCTCTGCAACATCGTGTGGCGATCGGGGGCGGTGCCAATGGAGTGGCAGACCAGGGTGGTGGTCCCTCTCTACAAGAAGGGGGACCGGAGGGTGTGTTCCAATTAGCGTGGGATCACACTCCTCAGCCTCCCTGGTAAGGTTTACTCCAAGGTACTGGAGAGGAGGTTACGGCTGATGGTCGAATCTCGGATTCAGGAGGAGCAGTGTGGTTTTCGTCCCGGTCGTGGAACACTGGACCAGCTCTACACTCTCCATCGGATACTCGAGGGTTCATGGGAGTTCGCCCAACCTATCCACATGTGCTTTGTGGATTTGGAGAAGGCGTTCGACCGTGTTCCCCGGGGTGTCCTTTGGGGGGGTCCTCCGTGAGTACGGGGTCCGGGGTCCTCTGCTGAGGGCCGTCCGGTCCCTGTATGACCGGAGCCAGAGCTGCGTGCGCATTGCCGGCAGTAAGTCAGACCTGTTCCCGGTGCATGTTGGCCTCCGCCAGGGCTGCCCTTTGTCACCGGTTCTGTTCACTGTATTCATGGACAGAATTTCTAGGCGCAGCCAAGGGTCGGAGGGGGTCCGGTTCGGGGACCACAGTATTTCATCTCTGCTGTTTGCAGACGATGTTGTCCTGTTGGCTCCAACGAACCAGGACCTACAACATGCACTGGGACCGTATGCAGCCGAGTGTGAAGCGGCTGGGATGAGAATCAGCACCTCCAAATCTGAGGCCATGGTGCTCGACCGGAAAAAGGTGCCTTGCCCTCTCCGGGTGGGTGGAGAGGCCCTTCCTCAAGTGGAGGAGTTCAAGTATCTCGGGGTCTTGTTCACGAGTGAGGGAAGGATGGAGCGTGAGATTGACAGGCGGATCGGTGCAGCGTGCGCAGTGATGCGGTCGCTGTATCGGACCGTTGTGGTAAAGAGGGAGCTGAGCCGAAAGGCAAAGCTCTCGATTTACCGGTCAATCTTTGTTCCCTCCCTCACCTATGGTCATGAGCTGTGGGTAATGACCGAAAGAACAAGATCGCGGATACAAGCGGTCGAAATGAGCTTCCTCCGCAGAGTGGCTGGGCGCTCCCTTAGATATAGTGTGAGGAGCTCGGTCACACTGGAGGAGCTCGGAGTAGAGCCGCTGCTTCTCCACGTCGAGAGGAACCAGTTGAGGTGGCTCGGGCATCTGTTCCGGATGCCTCCTGGACGCCTCCCTGGGGAGGTGTTCCGGGCATGTCCCACCGGGAGGAGGCCCCGGGGAAGACCCAGGACACGCTGGAGGGACTATGTCTCTCAGCTGGCCTGGGAACGCCTTGGGGTCCCCCCGGAAGAGCTGGAGGAGGTGTGTGTGGATAGGGAAGTCTGGGCGTCTCTGCTTAGACTGCTGCCCCCGCGACCCAGCAACGGATGAAGCGGAAGAAAATGGATGGATGGATGGATGAATTTAAACTTTTTTAACAAACACAAAAACTGAAAAGTGGGGCGTGCAATATTATTCGGCCCCTTTACTTTCAGTGCAGCAAACTCAGTCCAGAAGTTCAGTGAGGATCTTTGAATGATCCAATGTTGTCCTAAATGACTGATGATGATAAATAGAATGCACCTGTGTGTAATCAAGTCTCCGTATAAATGCACCTGCTCTTTGATAGTCTCAGGGTTCTGTTTAAAGCGCAGAGAGAACCATGAAGACAAAGGAACACACCAGGCAGGTCCGAGATACTGTTGTGGAGAAGTTTAAAGCCGGATTTGGATACAAAAAGATTTCCCAAGCTTTAAACATCTCAAGGAGCACTGTGCAAGCAATTATATTGAAATGGAAGGAGTATCAGACCACTGCAAATCTACCAAGACCCGGCCGTCCCTCCAAACTTTCATCTCAAACAAGGAGAAGACTGATCAGAGATGCAGCCAAGAGCCCCATGATCACTCTGGATGAACTGCAGATAACTACAGCTGAGGTGGGAGAGTCTGTCCATAGGACAACAATCAGTCGTGCACTGCACAAATCTGGCCTTTATGGAAGAGTGGCAAGAAGAAAGCCATTTCTCAAAGATATCCATAAAAAGTCTCGTTTAAAGTTTGCCACAAGCCACCTGGGAGACACACCAAACATGTGGAAGAAGGTGCTCTGGTCAGATGAAACCAAAATCGATCTTTTTGGCCACAATGCAAAACGATATGGGCGGCACGGTGGCTGAGTGGATAGCACTCTCGCCTTTCGAATCCCAGTCGGACCAGGGTCTTTCTGAGTGGAGTTTGCATGTTCTCCCCGTGTCTGCGTAGCTTTCCTCTGGGTGCTCCGGTTTCCCCTACCACTAAAAATATGTACAATAGGTCTGGCATGTGCCTCCTGTACTGGCGACCCCGCTCCCATCTCGGTGTGGAGCGAGAGGACAAATGCCCTAAAAATAACAACTGTAAACCGCTTTGAGACTCCGATGTGCAGTGAAAAGGCGGTATATAAAAAAAGATTACTACTACTTACTTAGATATGTTTGGCGTAAAAGCAACACAGCTCATCACCCTGAACACACCATCCCCACTGTCAAACATGGTGGTGGCAGCATCATGCTTTGGGCCTGCTTTTCTTCAGCAGAGACAGGGAAGATGGCTAAAATTGATGGGAAGATGGATGGAGTCAAATACAGGACCATTCTGGAAGAAAACCTGTTGGAGTCTGCAAAAGACCTGAGACTGGGACGGAGATTTATCTTCCAACAGGACAATGATCCAAAACATAAAGCCAAATCTACAATGGAATGGTTCACAAATAGACGTATCCAGGTGTTAGAATGGCCAAGTCAAAGTCCAGACCTGAATCCAATCGAGAATCTGTGGAAAGAGCTGAAGACTGCTGTTCACAAACGCTCTCCATCCAACCTCACTGAGCTCGAGCTGTTTTGCAACGAAGAATGGGAAAGAATTCCAGTCTCTCGATGTGCAAAACTGATAGAGACATACCCCAAGCGACTTGCAGCTGTAATTGCAGCAAAAGGTGGCGCTACAAAGTATAAGCGCAAGGGGGCCGAATAATATTGCACGCCCCACTTTTCAGTTTTTTATTTGTTAAAGTTTAAATTATCCAATAAATTTCCAAATAATTTTGTTCCACTTCACGATTGTGTCCCACTTGTTGTTGATTCTTGACAAATTTAATTTTTATATCTTTATGTTTGAAGCCTGAAATGTGGCAAAATGTTGAAAGGCACTGTAAGACAGAAGTATAATTCTACCAAAGACATTCGGACTGGGGTATATTTTTAAATGCCATTCGAGGATCTTTATGGTAGATTTAACATAATAGTTATATATTTGATTAGACTTTTTTCTGTCATCCAGATATGGTTCCAAAACAGATTACAAAATTAGTTGACAACCATTTCAATAATTAACTTGATACAGCCCTAACTCTGACCAATAATGTCTGAACATACCTTTCACACACATCTCCAATAGCAGAGAGGAGGTCCTTCACACTGCGGCCCCCCTGTGTCGGCGGTTGTCTAGAACATTCTCCATCTTGTTGAACTAAAGGTAAAGTTATGCTCTGAAGATGCCCTTTATCAGACAAACACAGCAGCTCAAAGTCCCCTGTACAAAACAAAAAATGTTTATTGCCATCTCAGGTTGCTGTGTTTTTTGAGATTTACTATTCCACAACTACATCATAGTATCAACCTCAATGTTCCGAATATCACCTGTTGTTTTGGACGCAGGTTTAGTCAAAGCGATGATTCGACACACATTCAGACTAACAGGGGTGTTCATCCTTTTTCCTCTTTCACGAGTTGGCGTGTCCGTCAGGTTGATTGACAGTAGATCTGAACCAGTGCTTAGAAACAGACAGCTCTTATCCACGCAGGCTGACATCACCTTCTCCGACACGCAACATTCTGTGAAACTAACTTGTCTGATCCTCTCCTCTGTGGCTCCTTCACAAGTTTTTATGACCACCACTCTGCCACGTTCCCCCACCGCCACTAAGCAGCGCGCATCCGGACCTGGCTCTGTTTCCATGACGACAGATGCTCCGATAAACAGCACCGGCTCCTCCAGGCTGTGAATGACTCGAAATCCCGGGAGACACAGCGACAGGGAGCACAAGCGTCCGTCTGGAAGGCCACATAAAATAACTGGAGTCTGTGAGAGAGCGGAGTCGATGGAAAATAGAAGTTTGAAAAGTGTAGGGTCCAAGCTGCTTTCTGGTGAAGATGACGTATCATGCAAATGTATGCATTGCATCACAGGCCTTGTTTCATCTGTCACATCTCCTACTGCTGGTATACAACTCAAACTAAGCGTTATGAATAGGCCAGGTTCCTCCCCTGGTTTGGTTACAGTCAAACACCAGAAATTATCTTTTCGGGATAGAGTCACGAGCACTGTACCAACTGTGACCAGACATAACACTCCTTCTTCTCTTACAATGAGGTTGTCTGAAGTTATTTTGATGTCTGCTGGAGATTCGTTTGGAGATGATCTGTGGAAATGGCAAAGAATAGTGAGAATATAGGATTTTTACATTTTAAGTCTTTACATACCAACCTTATCGGCTCATGGTGCAATTTGATGCCATAAACTGCACTTGCACAAGCGACATAGAGATGCTGCTTGTCCTCACTCTGAACGAAGTAATTCACTGAAGTGGGAAACTGCAATATGCCCTTCAAAAACATGGAAAAACCAACATAAAGAAACACAGAATACTATAAGCGGTTATTATTTTACTAATCAAAAAGTACCGTGAGTTTTTTGTCTTTTATATTATATAGATAGATTTCCTCATTCCCACCGCTGATGAATGCGTGGTCTTCAGAATCCAGAGTGATTCTTGATGTGTTCCGTGTTGTCCCAAAACCAAACTCGGCCAAAGTCTTGACGGCACACCGCCCCGACATGACACCACACAGGTACGTGTAGAAGCAGTCCGAAGATAATCGTGGAAATCGCAGTTTAGTTCACACTAGTTGTTGTTGTGACGCTACGGCATGGCACCAAAACTTCCGCGCCTCCTCTGGACCAATCATCAACAAGACTACATTTCCCATGATTCAAAGAGATCAGAGATACATGTTTTGAATCTGTATTTTTTTTATTTATTTTTTATTTCACTGTATATATATATTTTTTTTTTACTTACATTTTTTGGCTGTCTTGAAAGTTGACCTGATCCATCTTGCAGTGTACCTACAAAATAAATAAATAAAAGCCTCCTTTCTCATCCTTCCCTGTCATCTTTATTGACCGTTGTGGCAAAAAATTTGTAAAAGTGCAGGCTGCAGACACGTATTTTAAAGGTGGTGCTCACCCGTCTCCTAAAGGGTACATTTTAAACTTGAAAGCGCAGGGAACGTAGTCGAGAACGAGCTGCAATACACCTTGTTGCCGCTTGGTGGCGCTCGTGCGGATGAAGCTTGACCAATCAGAGCAGCGGAAGGAAACAGGAAGATCATTTGAAAACTCTCGCGCAAAAGACACAAGTGGACAGAAGTAAACACCGCGTTTTACCAGAAATACATCATGGCCACGAAGGATATCAGCGGCGATGAGGACTTCAAGATGTACTTTTATGAAAACCGAGTGAAGACGTTTGAAGGATGGCCTTTCGACGAAGACTGCGCGTGCACTCCCGAGAATGTGAGAACTCTGAGAAGCTAACGAACCTAGCTTAGCCCACCCCATCACAATAGACAAAATATTCTCATCACACATCTGCTCTGATATGTAGCCGCAAATGCACAGGTTTACTGCAGCATTAGCTATAGAGACTGTGTGGTTATTGCTCATTGCTGCAGCTTATGGAAACACTGTATTCAACACGTTTCTTGTTGTTTTTTTCAGATGGCAAAAGCTGGCTTCATCCACACTCCTTCAGAAAACAGCCCAGACATTGCAATGTGCTTCTTTTGCCTCAAAGAACTGGAGGGATGGGAGCCAGAGGATGTCCCAGAGTAAGGAAACGAGGTTTGAGGCTAATCAGTCGAGTGACAAAAGAAAGTTCCATATAAAATTGTTGAAAATGCACAAAATTATGATTAAATGTCATCAAATCCCAAAACGATTAGAAAATGAACTATCCAACAGAAGGGTTGAGATTACTTTTAAATATAAGTAAGTAAGTAGTAAGTAATCTTTATTTATATACCGCCTTTTCACTGCACATCGGAGTCTCAAAGCGGTTTACAATTGTTATTTTTGGGAGCAGGGGTGCCAGTACAGGAGGCACATGCCAGACCTATTGTACATATTTTTAGTGGTAGGGGAAACCGGAGCACCCGGAGGAAACCTACGCAGACACGGGGAGAACATGCAAACTCCACTCGGAAAGGCCCTGGTCCAACCGGGATTCGAACCCAGGACCTTCTTGCTGAGAGGCAAGAGAGCTATCCACTCAGCCACCGTGCCGCCCCATATAAAACATGTATTTTCTACTGTATAACTGTTGTGTATTATGTGTCTTGTTTTCTTTGTGGTTGCTATGGTAACTGTTGTGTGTACTTAAATAGTTAGTTCTCTCAAAAACACATTTCATCTGTATAGAAACCGCTTGAAAGTGTACTTTGGGTGAATTATTATTACGGTGTACTTGTTTTTAGTTACCACAATTATTTTGCTGCTCTATTCTGTATTTTTATATATTGCAATAGAGATACAACAAAGTATCATGACATATTATTATCTTAATATCATCAGAAATCTTTAGGAAAATACCAAACTTATTCAGTAGTTCATTGGGTGGTTTTCAGTCTCTACCACTTCCTCCATTGGTTTCTTCAACTGGTTGAATTAATTTTTTGTGCCGAGGATTGAATCGCTCTTTGAGGTGGCTTCCATTCAGACCGCAGACTTGACAACAATGACCTGTTCAGAGTGTGCTAGTGCAGATGCACTCTCTTGTTTGTTATTTATTATTTTATATATATCATGGGGACATGTCTCGTCTGAAGACATTTTTAACTGTTTTCAAGTGATTTTATACCTAGATAAAAATACAGAAGCTCCCTGCAGCATCTGCCTCGGCGAAACTATGTTTTCTTTGACCAAAACATCAAGTAGAAAGTACTGACTTCTTCATTTGTTGTAATGGCTTTTCAGGATTTTCTGAATTATTTTTTTTTGATCTTGCAGAAAGGAACACAAATCTCATTCCCCTTCCTGCCACTTCATCGCCTTGAAGAAGAAAATGGAAGAACTCACATTAGAGGAATTTTTCAAACTCCAGAAGGAGAGACGGAAGAATATCATTGTATGTATGATAATAAACTTCAGTACAGTTATGTATGTTCTGTGTTACCAACTGTGTTTCTGTCATAGTCCAAAACCTGGAATGAAGCCATCAACAAGTTTGAGGAGGCTTCCAAAAAGAGGAGAGCAGACATCCTGAAGACCGCTATGGGGGAAGAGTGACCTGTTGGGGGGAAATGTGTCCGTTTCTATGTGTAAATGTATTTTTATTCTGTGTATTAGAGATATTGTCCCTTTTTTATATTAAACATATAAAATAAAACTAAAGTATGAGTCATTTAATCATCACATTCACAACGATCCATTATTAAGGCTTTAAATCTTTGTGCGTAAAGTGCGCTCCTTCCAAATACAAGTCCCTCCCCAAAAGTAGTCCGAGTGCTCTCTCCTCCACATGGCATCAGGGTTTCCACTCAGAAGAGGCTGCTTTTCTATCTCAACTTTCTCCAAACAACTACGCGTCGCCTTTTATATTTTTTTATATATTTATTTACGCATCGCACACGGAGTCTTCCTTTTACGCACAAGGGAAACGGACCTTTACGCGGGGGGTCCAACGCGCGGGTCAATAATGAAGGTTGTCTTCGGGTATTTGGTGATCACAGCCGGTGTCTGCGGCGTTCTGAGTTTCACCTTTTTAGCCGCGGCTCTCGGAACCGACTATTGGTATAATATTGAGATGAATCAAGTCAATAACAAAAGCGCCCTGGGGGATATGAGCTCCCATTCTGGGCTGTGGAGCATCAACGAAGGTACAACTTTATTTTCTGCATTAACTTAATAATCTCTCTATTCATGAATGATTTATGCTCTGCACATGTCAGGAGGTGGTTACAGTGATTCGATCGACTCTTTCAAAACCGATTACTCCAGGTTCTCTGAGGCGGAATTGTACATGCTCGGTGAGTTTTATCTAAATGGTGAAGTGTTGATCCTCTCCTCCTCATCACACAACACTGCTCTAATCAGCCGTGTTTTGGCTGCACACAGAGCTGCACAGTGCCATCGTGGTGCTCCTGCCTCTGAGCCTGGTTCTGCTTCTGATCGGAGGCATCTGTGGACTGGTCAGCTCCCTGGCCCGCAGCTCCATCCTCCTCACTGGGACGGCATCCTACTTTTTCTTCTGCAGTGAGTCTCAGGCAAACTTAAGCACTATTCAATATGATAAGAGGATATGGTACAGATAGAGCCTGTTTTTTTAAGTAACACGCTCAAAGTAACTAATGAAAATGTTTTGAGGTATAGTATTTCAATTCTTTGGCTCTAATCAGTTTTGAATTATGCCTGGACCATTAACTTGCTTGCAATTAGAATGAAGATATGTCTGATAATGATATGAGAAGTGTAATAAGATACACCATTCTGAAAGTAAAATGACAGAAAGCTGGGTTAAAAGCAAATTTGATATGACATCTCAAGGTTTCTCACATTAATGCTTAATCCAATCCATTTAAACTGGAAGGCATTGAGTGTAGAGGGATGTGCATTGGCCTCGATAAATGTTGGAAGCTGCTGACCTGCAGTAAGTCCTCGTATGGAGGCCCTGAGTTCAAACAGACTGGGGTTTATGAGCAGCAGGATTGGGCCGTGTTGGTTAAGTATGCATGAAGGTGCTGTGTGCAAGTGTATTAGTTTTTATGTGTGCATCATGTCCGTATGCTTCACCAAACCAGAGCCTCATTCTGTACGTGTCAGACGAGGGCTGCTATTGGTCTGCTGGGAGAAACAAGCAAGAAGTCAAATTACTTTGGCAACATTTAGTGTCTTGCAAACGCATTGTCACTGGTGTGTGCCGTCTTCTCTGTCTGGTGCACACTGGGGTAGTCTTGCACAGTTTTTCGAATGTGGTTTTACTGCAAATGGCAAATAAATGAATCTGAATCTGACTAACAGGCTGAGATCATTAATGGCTTTATTGAATAGTATTTTGGTAATTTAGTCAAGTGGTTAGCGCTCGTGCTGCAGAGCAAGAAGGTCCTGGGTCCGATTCCGCTCTGTATGGAGTGTTCTCCCTGTGTTTGCATAGGTTACCTCCAGGTGCTCTGGTTTTCCCTACCACTAAAAACATGTAATAGTTCAGGGTGTTGTGTGAGTGCGGCTGTGGGACAAAGGATGGAAATTGTGAGCTGGAACTTTTTTCTCTGCATGTTCCGAAACATGATAAATAGTTGGGCCATCTTGCAGCAATATTGGCAAGGAATGTCTGAAGTTCTTCAAAAGCTTTAGGAATGTGTTTAAAACATAGCACACAATAAACTCATGATGTGGGAGAACAAACATGCGGGCCTTAAATAGCTCCATTTTTAGTCTCTTCTCTAGACAGATAATTTGATAAGCCCAACAGACAGTAGGTTCTTTGTTCCCAAACTACATTGGCAGAAAATAAGATTTTACTACAAGTCTGATGCATTTCTACCCAAATTGACAGTAAAGGAGAAACTACACCTAACTTGTTCATCTAGATGAAGGAAATGGGAAAACTCAATTACCACCTCATGCCCGTCCATAATGTGTAAATATAGCTATCTCACACAGTCACACACAGGACTGTTCTGACCTTCTGTGATGAACAAACATCATTTTGGGGACTCTTTTGGCCTTCTCCTAATGTGCAGCACATGAGTGTGGGACGGGGCAGACCTGACAATGTGGACTGTCCAACTCTGCACTCAGCTCTGTTCTATCCAAGCTGCATGAGGCTAACGTCATCTGCTCCAAAAAACGCAAAGAACTGCATTGCTTGATCTTCCAAGACCTGTCCTGATGTCACATTTATAAATGCTTGGGATCGACCAAAAAGTACCCGATATTGAAGCACTTTTTGGCCCCGTCTCCAGTCCAAACACCCAGGGTTATTTGTTAATGTTATTGTACGAGTTGTCCCTCAAATCACACACAAAGCCACCACATGTAATTCATGCCCTCTGCACACGTGTGGTGGCACCCAAGGGTGGGATCATAACAAAGTGATTACTTGTCACGTCCCGGTCACCTCTGTGCTCCAATTGAAACATGAGCAAGACGACAAAATTAAAAGGGTTACCAATAGCAACCGTGTGTCGCTGCTGAGTGGGGTGTGGGGATATTGCGTTAGTGTAAATTCTCCGATGGCTTCCATGTTGTGAGCAGCATGCGTCAGTGTACTTCCTGTCTCTCCCCTTGTGAGATTTAACAGGTAATGTCTTTTTAATAACACATGGCTAATACAAATTCCCGCTGCTTAATTGCAAAGGCCACACATCTGAGCAAAATTTAATTTGTAATACACAGACTTTCTTGTCAACGCAAACATTCAAATGTATCCTCACAAGGCCAGCTGCTTTGATGGGATCATTAGCTCCTGCGTGTGGCGGAATAACAGTTTATCTGTTATTCCGCCACACGCCATTACCACATTACCAATTTAAACTAATTGTTCTTTTGTGGGTGTGGTCATGTTTTTTGTGTGTCTGGTCTCGCAGGCCTGCTGACCCTGAGTGGAGTGACCCTGTACATGGTGTACTCTCATAAGGCGCTGGTGGAGACAGAGAGGCTGGTGGGGCAGGAGGGTCTCTCCTACATCCACACATCCTTCGGCTGGTCCGTGGCTCTGGTCTGGCTCTCCTACTGCCTGGAGCTGTTCACAGGGGTCCTGCTGCTGGGGGCGGCCCACACATGCAGACGGCACAGCCCCCCTCTGGCCTGACACAGTGCAGAGAGGCACTGACTGAGCTGCACTGACTGAGCTGAAAGGACTTCATGTGAGTCTTTCAGGTGGATACAATCTCTGGAGTGGACTGAACTGTGATGTCACATATAGATTTAGTAGAAGGCAGGTCTTTCAAAGTCATGTTTGTGTTTGAGTGAATGTATATTGTGTGTAGGGCTGGGCAATAAATCGAATTTAGGCAATTAATCGGCATTTGAAAAAATCTGATTTGTGAAAAATGGGAAAATTGAAATGGAATGAAGGACAGCAGCACATGAATTTATACTTGAAATACCAGCACTGTCTGCACAAGACTTTTATAATACGTATTGGGCGAAACAAATGAAAAAATAGTTTTGAAAGATCAAAACATATGTTTAAGGGCAAAGTCTGTCTTCAGTGACTTTAAGGAAAATCAATTTAAGCTCGAATTTGTCCAAAGCAGGAAATAAAATTGAGATTATACCTTTTGCCATATCGCCCAGCCCTAGTGTGAAGCATGTAACAGGTGAAGAGATGACTGAACTCTTAATAAAATTAATACAAATCTTGCTGCAGCATTGGCAGCCTGACCTAATGATAGTGATAATAGTAATAATAATATGAATATTAATAATAATAATAATAACACCTCAAAGACAAGTTTACATCTTGTGGTTTAAATGAACGACTAACCTGATAATAATGTCTGTGACAAAGTCAAATTTCAGTGATTGAAGATATTCCATTTTAATGTAACATGGTCATTAGGTGTCTCCATTTGCGTTACTTTCGGTACAAGTTTAAAAACAACTTAAAAGAATATAAGGCATATCAATCCCATGATCCTTGCATCATTATTCCAGTCTGAGGTTTCAACACGATCACTAAAACCTCGTCACTTCTGCTGATCTCACAGACGCCTCCTTTTATATGAGATTTAGTTTTGAGCATTAAGATCAGCTGCTTATGCAGTCTTTTGAGTATCAGTCATACAAAAGAGGAATGCTGCAGGTCCTTTCTCAAAAGCTGATGGAGGCCATCATCCTGGTAGGCACACTTTTCCAGCAAACAGCAGTCCAACGATGGTGAAGAATATGGAGAGGACGAAGAGGACGTAGGAGGAGCCCACTCCTGTGTTGTTGGGGAGTTTGTACGGCTGGCCCCCCACCTCACTGATGTAGAAGCCGATGGGGAATATTAGGGCTGCCATACAGAAGAGCACCACTGAGACAGAAGATACAAACATGTTTAGAGTTACTCTCCCCTGAGACTCCTACATTCAGCTGAGCTTTGAGCTCTCAGGTTTGCTACACCATTGTCCTGTTAATATGTGTTCTTACTTCCTGTGAAGGCTATCCAGCGGGCGTAGCGCGTGGCCTCAGGGTGCCAGTGGGACATGACCAGCAGGGTACAGGTCAGAGTGAGGGAGATGATGCCCATCATGATGAAGAAGAGTGTGGTGATCCACTCTGGAGGCAGCTCTGGGGGGATGCAGATCCTGTCCCGCCCATGAATGGTCTGGCACTGTCGGGAGAGTCCTACTGTCAGGGAACCTGTGAAAGGACAAGAATTAGTGGTTGGTTTCCTGAATCTCATAGGTCACCAACGTAGATTTGAATGTTTAAATAAAATTTTAAAAACACTTTGTTGTACATTAGCCTGCATTCGAGCACACGCAAGACTTCCTGGCACTAAAATACATGTTGTCATGGAAACAAAGCTAAGATAATGTAATTTACAGTGATATACGAGGGTCAAGGCCAAAAACTCAAAACACAGTAACAGGAAATCCACTCAAACTTTCAAACACAACGACTGCACTGCGACTCTCAGTTAATACTATTGAAACTAAATTAAATCCCTCATGCTTCCTTTTACTCCTTTGTCTGAATGCTTTTATAGACTTTTCTTCTGTGAACAGTCAGTCAAGGCTAACCATTTTAGGGATTTATAGAACATAATAGAATAAATTAAAAACAGCCATAATCAAAGAGACCTCAAACATTAGAGGGACTGAGGCTGGCATATTTTTAATTAATGAAAAAGGAACTCAGAGTGACTTGACTGCATATTACAAATGCGTGTGTCCTTGTGAGGATGTTCTGATTGTATAAGCATAATAATCAATGAATGTTTTTAGAACAAATGTCAACGCTGCAGCATTTAATAAGGCCGCACATTGTTTTTGTGTGTATAGTTTTTCAATATATTATCTTTGCCCAGGATTTTAAGTGATCAACAGCAATCATTTGTCTGTGAGAAACAGAACTCAAAACATCATGGTAGAAATTGGATGAAATGGCCCAGTGAGCAAGTGACTACATTTAGGAGGTGCTCCAAATCAACAGCTGGATTTTATTATTTTAATAGAAATGGGCCTGCACCTCTTGGCCGAGGTCTGTGCTCTGCGAGTGTATTCTTAGATATTTATTTTGAACGCTGTATATTGTTTAGTGGATTACCTTAGCACAGGGGTTCTCTACGCAGGGAAAATGAGAGTATTTTATAATTAAATTCCTAAAGCTCTTGACTTAATTTGACCAATTATTTGAATTGATGTGAAATTGGGTCAAATAACTAGACATGGCTCAAATTAACACAACTTCAAAAGAGTTTTGCTCGTTACTATGCACTTTATAATATGTATAAACTTAATTCAGACAAGGAGAAGAGTTTAATTCATGCATTTTCCATAAATGAACAGTTCAGGCTGAGAGTTTGAAAAGTTACTGTTGTAGACAGTCCCAGATTATATTTTATGACAACTTTCTGAAGTTGAACTGATAATAGCGAAGGATGCTATCAGCTTGGACCAGATGCTTATTAAACCACAGGGCCCTACTTCAGCTCAGGATATCCTGTTCCCCGCTCTCACATGCTTTCAAAGGGAGGGTAGGAACAATGTAAATATTGCATCAATGTCCCCACATATTCCATATCCTGATCTAACAGTTGTGGGAATACAGCTTCATTAGACAGAGTTTTGTCTAAAACATGTCATTTTTCTTGCTGTATTGAGGTTAGTTTTCCTAATATCTAGTTAATGCATCCCAAGCACCACAGGCACAGCCGACAGTGGTTGTTTAGGCTCTGATTAGGCAGTTTACTGGCACGATAATGTCATGGAGCAAAACCTCCAGTACCCTTCCCTGTGCCAGTGATGTGTTTCAATCTCCAGGAGGCACCATTGCCCTCTCAGGGCCCAATTACCAGTCACACCTCAGCCTTAAACAACACTTCCTGGATTAAGAAGATTATTCTCCGGGTAATTAAACACAGACTGAGGCTTTTAGTAGATTAATTGTACACTATTGTTGTTTACAATGTACAAAGTAGGTCATACATTTCCAACAAAAACAACACTGATGTAATAAACTATTGAATATTGCTGTAACTAAGCATTATTTTGATAAACAAGGAATGTGCTTTTTTCTCCTAAGGTGAGCCAGATAAAGCTGAAGTGAAGCCACCAGAGGACATCCTGAACGAGACGTTTATACAATTACTGATGTCTTTATATGTAGACTGCACTTAAAGTCTCTGGTTGAGCACATCTCACAACAAAGTCTGTTTAAGTCTGTAATTTGAGTAGTTACTATAAAATAACGAAACTAATATTTGGGATGGATCGTCACAACCTAATGTGGAATGTATCCAGAATGTCATTTATCTTGAACACGGTGATTGTTAGATTGAATCCAGGGATTACAAGTAATGACAGAGTTCATATAACTTGGCCTAGCCATGATTCTAATATAGAACATTAGTTTATTAATGCACTCCAGTGGAAATTACTGGCAATAACATAACACATTAGTATTGCATATCAACATGCACACATGCAAGTGTGTGAAAAGTGTTAGTTTTCTCATTACCCGCAGATTTCCCGGTGTTGATCCAGTCTGGGTTGGCGATGCTTGCGATGGCGAAGATGTCTGCAGCGAGGAAGAGGCATCCTGAGATCACGGTGAGTTTATCCATGACGGGGAAAGTGTGTGGTGCACAGTCTGGGACATGGAGCCTCTGTCCCCAAACGCACTGGTCCCATCAGCCAAACGCCCCACTGACCACCGCCGGGTCGGACATGTTAGACTCGGGACCAGCAAGATGAGAATGTGGCTTTTCTTAGTAGTTATTGAAGTCAAAGCACGAAGCGAGCAGCAGCAGGAGATGGTTAGCTTCCAGCGGATAAATCAGATGTTATTTCCCAGACGTGCAGTACGCATCGGGCCGTCATGTTAGCAGCGCCGTGATCACATCTACTTTACATCACTTCCGCGTTGCTTTTCCTTTATGAATGCATGCCTCTAAAAGCAGAAACAATGGGTATAAAGTAACACTGCAGATGGAAAAGCTACACTGGTCTCGATCGCACAGCTCAGCAGAGGAAACTAAACAAGAGCGGTCCTGTTCACGCCTCCATCATTGTACAGGCAACTCTCGCGAGACTACACTACGGCTGACTCACTACTCAACGAGATGTTTTGCAATGTTTTTTACAACTGGCCTGCAAATCATTCTATGCTTATTACCACAAAACAGGCAGCGGAACGACTAAGATATAATTTATTTTATTACTTTACATCAGATATACAGTAAATGTGGACAGGTACATTTGTAGAACAGAGCCACAGTGAAGTTGAGACTTTAACCTTTGCTTTTGGTAATGGGTTTGTGTTATGTCATCATCAACATTACATTTTAAAAGGAGAACAGTGGTTTAGATTTCATCCACAAATGGAGTATTTACAAGGTTGCCACTTGAAGCCATAGTTTTCTTGCCAGAAACAAATGTCTTTGCAGCCTGAAAACAAAAGAAAAAGTATTTATAAACTATTGATTTAATCTGTTACATTACATTTTTGAGCAAAGAAGAATTACATTGGAAACGTCAGTCAGGGAAACATTGTCAATATTTTTGGAAATGTTCTCAGCGGAGCAGTAGGATCCCTCCGCTAGTGCCTGCGTTCCAATTGCTTCCAGCAAACCATCCGACGTCTCCAGAGACATCAAGAACTGTGCCTTTAGCTGCGCTCTGCAAACAGGAGAGAACATTTCTATCTACAGGCACTGGCAAAGTAAACAGTGTGGCATTGGTAGATCTAGTTCTAGTGTTTTCCACATTTCAAAGACTTACTTGGCTCGAGTAAGATCCGCTGCCGTGACTCCACCGTCTGCAACAGCCTGCACCTGGCTCACAGCTGCCTTTATCACCTACAGAGAGGAAAGTCACTTACAGCGTAACAAAGCATCAAACAAAAACACTGTGTGCTAAACATCAACTTTCTGGAGACTCAATTTTACACACCATTTAATAGAATGTTCATGACTTAAAATACACCATAATGTGTAAATGTTTTCATGAATTGAGATTCAGTGATGGCTCATGATCAGAAAAAGACTTTTTTCTGAAACTGGAAGATAAACTATGACAAGCCTTTGATAAAAGATAGTACTAAAAAGCCTCTTTTCTCCTGATAATTACTGACTCAATGTAACACACACCTGCCCTACGAACATACTTGGTGATACTCACATCTCCAGCGGCTGCAGGTTGGGAAATGGTGTAAACTCCAAACAAACCAGAGTCTGAGTAGCTAACGTTGAACGCACTGACCTGTCGACAAGAAAGATCCATTACTTTAAACGAACTGCACATTGGAAAATACCAACTTTATTTAAATATTTTCTAAAATGTATTCAGCATTATCCTTGGACAGTGTGAAGGTCCACTCACATCGAAAGGGTCTGCTGTGGCTTTGGCTACAGCTTGGCTCAGTTTGCTGGTGATGTTGGAGCCTCTCTTGACGTGAGGACCTGCTCCCAGTAAATGCTGCAGAACCCCAAAGGACAGAGCATCGCTGCCCCCTGCAGCCGCTCCTTCACTCACCACCAATGAATGCACCAAACCCGTTCCAGGCAGACGAATCTCACCTACACAGTGGGTTTAGATGTTTATGGACACTGTGCTTTGTGCCATGAATAATCACAGTTTATCACGAGCTCAACTGAAGCAAATTCAGGGAGTTTAAACATTGATGATAGTGAATACCAACGTTCCATTGTTATCACTACACTATAGGAGGAGGAGAGAGTCCGTGTTAAAGTGAGCATAAATACACAGCTAAGTGCTTAAGTACATATAACTTATTGTTAGTTTTGAGCATTTCTGTAATACCTGCTTTTTAGTCTAATTCTGCCACCCACACCCCATCCAGGTGAGGGGCCATGTAGTTCTCCTATACTGCCAATGAAATGCATTTGTTGATTTTGTGAAAGCACTTTCAAAATAATATAGGGTCAAATACAGAGAATGCGTTGCTATGTCCATGTAGATGATAAAGCACTTTTATATTTCAGATTAGCCACAGATCCTGCGTCACTGCCCACCACAGACTGTGGCGATCCCATAAAGGGAGGTCCGCAACAATACTCACCTCCACGATATTGAGCTTTAGCACCTTCAGCCCCTGCACCACTGCGGATGTTCAAGAACTGTTCTCCAACTTGTTTCAGTATGTTGTGATCCACACCTGTAGAGCAAACATCTATCAATTAACTTTTTCTAAAGATCCCCAGGGATTAGGTAAAACCTGCCAATCGCTTGTGCTTACCAAGTCCAACAAGAGCCATTCTAGCACTGGTGAAATTATTTTGCACAAACTGGTGCAGCTGGTAAAGAAAAAATACAATTAGTTATTTATGCTATTCTCCACAGATTAGAGAATGAATATTGATATCACTAAAACAGCTGATGTCTCACATGGTCAGACTGGATGTTTCCAACCATGTGGGTGGGGCAGTACAGGGAGTTACAAAGGGCATTCTTGTACGCAGCATCATGGAGACCTTCCACGACACCTGTGGCAAAACCAAACGTCAACTTCAGGAAGCGAAATATGAGATAAATTACTTATATGCAATGAGTCTGGTGTGTGTGTGAATAAATACATGGTGGTGATAAACTATGCAAAAAAAGTATTAAAATTAACCTATTTGAGGACTTTGAGCAGCCTGGGCCTTGTCCATCTTTACCCTCGAAGTGAGTTCAGACACCTCCCAAGGTCGAAACTCTGGAGCTGTGGTCACATTAATCAAGTACTCCATCACGGTGTCTCTGCAAAGCAAAACAATTGTTTGATAAAAACGTTTTTTAAAAATGCATAAACATTCCGTAACAAATATTACATGTCGTCTCTTAAGCAGTCCACATTGTAGATCATGTTCTCTCTGGTTGATGTCACACTGCATGAAAACACAAATCATGAATACCAGTCCAGTAAACGCATGAATATTTCACATCCAGCAGAAAAGAAACAATTGTTTACAGACCTTAAACTTCCACCCACTGCCTCCACTCCACGGCAAATCTTAAAAGAAGAGGCTCCTTTTGTAGTCTAACGCATGGAAAAGGGGACGGTAAGATGAAAAATCTTGAAACATATAGTATGTAAAGCAATGCCATTTCAAGGAATATCCTCCATGTGAGGTTTTTTACACCGAACCAGCAGTTCAATAATAAATATATTGATCAAAATAATACACATTTTAAAATACCAGGCTGGAAGCAAGCCGGAGGAGGTGAGTGACACCTAAATCGTTGGTAGTCTCATAACGACAGCCAGCTTTTATAAACACTCCGATCTTTGATGCAGGGGAGTAATTCTCCTGTGATGCAATCACCAACCCACTGGAGAGCTTGGTGATCTGATGGTACAAAAACATTTGTACGTTAAACAGTTGTACTAGTTTCACCTGGAAATGTTATGAACTAACCTGCACATCCTGCGGCTGAAACTTGACCTGTTCAGCCTCAACTTTTCTAGCCGCCTGGGCAGCGTAAAGTCTCGACTGCAAAAACAGATTTAGAAGTGTGAATGCAATTATATTTAGTACATTATAACAATGATAAATGTCATTACAGCTGAGCTGTGGTGGCAGGGGTTTATATCTAATCAATAAAGCAAGGGTTTTTTTAACGGTCAAAAGGTCTTGATGTAAATCTTTTTTTTTTTAGATAAATATTTGTTTTGTGCCCACTATTGAACTTAAATTCTAATGGTGTATTTTTAAGTTGTATAGTATTAGGATGCTTGTATAACCTGAGAAGTGCTGCTCCATAGACTGTGTTTACTATGTGTGGAAACTACTCTGAGAATTGCCCTCTAGAATCAATAGTTTTCTGAATCCATCATCACTCTTTGGCTCTAACAGGTACAATACTAAAGAATCCTTCCAGTCCCTGTCGCAGTCAGTGGTAAAGTCTTGTGCACAGACTTTAACATGGTTATGTATGTTTATGGGAGGGCCGCAACTGCGCGGTGTGTTGATCCTTTCTGTTTTTTAGAGGATTGTGTTTCCTATCGTTAGCCACATGTAACATAGAAGCTGTACGTTAGCAATGTGTAATGTGTGTAAATATAGAGATGCATATAGATCATGTTTAGTGGAGGCTGTGGGGGGGATGTGGGGCTAGTATCATAGACTGTTCCTCTGAGCTCCAGATGTGCCTGAACATGAAGCTTATGGTGGTATCGCTCTCGAGGTATTGATGACTTACTTTCCGGACATGTGTGAGCTGTAAAAACCTTACCGATAAGTGCGTTATTCCCCGAATCCCCTTCATCTCCCCTTCTCCTTCACACAAGACGGTAGAGCAAGATGGCGCCTGAAAGTGCCCTACCCACAATGCTGTGCGGGCCTCTACTTGCTCGTGACAAAAACGCAGTCAATGTAAAATACTGCGCCCTCTAAAGACGAATTCAGAAAACAATCCTTTTACATTATTTTTTTAATTTAAACTTCATAATATTAACATACAGTAAAAATATTGTGAATGTATCTTTCTAACATACATTGTACATTCTCACAGATGTCCCATAGTTTACATTATGTATCGAAAGTATCAGTTGGTTTATTGTGAGTCCATTTGGTTTCGTTGCATATTCTTCAAAGGCTTCCTTCTCGTTTTTATTTAGTTTTGTGGCGCTTTATTAAGCAATGCCCTCGACCCAAGTGGCATTAAAAATAACATTTCATATGTGTGTTCACTCGAGCAAACCTGGAGGCACTCTGGCACTCAAAAAAACGATGTTACAAATTTACAAAAACACAAGGAACTTCAAGAAAGGAAGTATTTTTGCTGAATTTGGATGCATCCTCCTGACTAGCCTTCCTCACGCGGAACTTCCTGTAAATCCAGCGCATGCGCAGTTTCTCACACGTGGGCCAAACGTTTGATAGAGCTGCATGCGACATCAGCAACAGAGCTAACCGCACTTGTGTTGAGTTTAACTGACCAGTCTACCAGTATCTTTTTTTTTTCCTTTTACCCAGTTTACTTGGAAACAATTAGTCCTCCGTGAAGCATTTCGCCGAGAGGGCCGGACTATCTTGAAGACGAGTGAACATGGTACGTACTACTACAGCAGTTTAGCTGTAAATGGGGATATTGCATTTCGTTTCAATTGTGTAGTTTTTAGTTTTAAACTGTCTTATGTTATTGTTTTCTTTAGGCTGAACCTCAAGTGAACCCCAAGGCCTATCCTTTGGCCGACGCTACGCTGACCAAAACCATCCTGGATTTAGTGCAACAAGCTGCAAACTACAAACAGTTGAGGAAGGGCGCTAATGAAGGTGAGTACTTAATACTTACATCATTTAAGGTTGTATACCTACAGATCATTGTTCAGTGTTATCAGCCTTTTTGCTATATTTTCCCATTCAAAAGGTAGGATAACACGTGTGAAATTGTGAATCACTGAGGCACCAATCCTCATTTAAAAATACATGATCTGAATGTACTCTTGCATCTATGCGTTCTTCCCCTTCATCATTCACATTTCGTGTTTTGTATTATTGCAGCCACTAAAACCCTGAACAGAGGCATTGCAGAGTTCATCGTGATGGCCGCTGATGCAGAACCACTGGAGATCATCCTCCACCTGCCCTTACTGTGCGAGGACAAGAACGTTCCATACGTGTTTGTACGTTCCAAGCAGGCCTTGGGTCGTGCGTGTGGAGTGTCTCGTCCCGTTATTGCTACCTCCGTGACCATTAAAGAGGGCTCCCAGCTCAAGCCCCAGATTCAGTCTGTCCAAACGGCTATTGAGAGACTGCTTGTGTAATTGTGAATTGAAAGACTACGTTTGACAATGTATGGTATCTTATGTTGATGAATTGGATTTTTACTTTCTTCATGTGTATCAAGCTTTGATTCACAATAAACCTTTTTTATTTCAAATTGCATTGTCATTAACTACATTCTTTGGGTGTCAAATTGTCTTTTGAAAGACATGAGGTTCCCTTATCTGGAGGGCTCCTAAAGTAAAGGTTTAAATGTTTTTTTTTTTTTTTGTGCCAAAGCCTGGATGCTTAATAGAAAGCAGCTTCTACTCAGCAGTTCTACCTTTTACACCTGGTTTCGGTGTGGTTTTGTTTCATTATACATTAATTACCATTTCTTACAAATAAAACAATTGCTACTTTTGGGAATGGATTTTTGCTTCAGATCATATTTTCCGCGGTTGGCATTAGTTCTAATCTACACAGGTTCACAATGTTCATGGAAATTTTTTAAACAATACACTTGATCAATTAGAGAAGTTTAATATATATTTCTAAATTCGCCTCCTTAATATTTGTGACGTAATCACCTGCGAAAGACTGCGCGTGGGAAAAAACTGGGAGTTGCTCAAATCTTTGACGCGTTTTATGGACAACTCGGGAAACCGGAAACTTGCAAACGCACAAGTTTGACATGGCAGAAACTGCTCCTGTGACCATTTGGGGACATGAAGCTCGTGGCTTATTGAATTATAGCGAGTTAATACCGAGACTGGAAACGGCTTTGGGGAAATTCTCCCGACGGGACCGAGCGGAGGTCATTCAGCCCGTGCGCACCACTCTGCCTCTGCAGAAGCACGGCGGGTAGGTGGTCCGGTGCAACACCCCTCATTCTGAAACAACTACAACTCCCAGAACAGTTATTGTGACGGCTCATTTTCAAATGAAAACATGTTAAAAGTAGTTTTCTTCTTTATTAAAAGTGATGAATACAGTTTTTATCTTGACACTGTTAATATAACAAATACAAACAACCGTAAGTCTTGATTCTTAATAGTTCTAAAGTTTAGACCTTCCCTTATTATGCTTAAAATAGAGAGTTATATTTAATTTCTTTATGGAGTTATAATTCATTAATCTTTTGCTGTGTGCTCCTCATTCCTACTGTCTAACTTGTGATGCAACACTGAAATTTCCCTACTGTGGGAGTTAAAAAGCCGTCAAATTGACTGTTCTGAGAGTTCTTGGTAACTGTCCTCTGGGGCAGGTTCCTGGGCGTGATGCCCTGCTACATGGAGATGGACAGGATCTTGTGTACAAAGTTAGTGAGTTTCTACAAAAGACCGAGTGGGTCCACTTTACCATCAACCCAAGCCACGGTGCTGCTGCTGGACCCGGAGCGTGGCAACGTGAAAGCAGTTAAGTGCTGGTGTTTCATTCACGTTAATGAGCAACTAACGAGTTCCAATGTGCAGGTTATTGATGGAGAGGTCATCACGTTTATGAGGACAGCAGCGGTCTCAGCCATTTCAGCAAAGGTCTGTCCAGTCCAAATCACCAAGGGAAAAGTCATTTGTTTTTGTGTTGGGTATATTTGTGATATTATCAAACGTGTAAATGAGTTGAACGTACATGTTTGAAGCTGGGGTACATAACTTCCAAACCACAAAAACATGAAACTATGTTGTAAAATCTAACTACTTCCTTGCTCTCAAAAGTTTACTTTTATCAGTACTTTTCAGATGCATGTATTTGTGGCCCTTGTCACATCTTTAGATCTGCCTTTTCAGACAGAAAAGTCAAAAGGGAGAAAAAAAGCATCAGTTTTATACAGCGCTTTTTTGGACACTCAAAGACACTTTACATTCATTTACTCCATACATGGTGGTGATAAACTACTGTAGCCACAGCTGCCCTGGGGCACACTGACAGAAGCGAGGCAACCAGTCTGTGCCATCGGCCCCTCCCACCACCACCAACCATTCACACACACACCAGACTCATTCTAGGCAATGGGGGTGAAGTGTCTTGCCTAATTACACAATGGCAGTTTGGCACTTTACAGCCGCAGCCGCCCCACTGTGGTTAAGTGTCTTGCCAAGGACACAACAACAGCAGACATGAGTGGGAGTCGATGGTGAAAGTCTTGAGGTGGCCTCGAACCCACGACCTTCTGGCTCAAAGGGCAACCAACTGAGCTTTTGTCACCACATGACAAAAGGAGAGAACAACCGTCACTCAGCCGATCATCTCTCAGCTCTAAGAGTCAAATAGTGACTCACAGGGATTTGTTTCACAGGAAAGCAAAACATACAATGTTTTCTACTTGTGGTTTGATATTGAAAACTAGAGAGGTACCCAGCTTTATTCATTCAAAATACATGTATCTGCTTCAACACTGACACAGTATCTCCTGTGCTCATTGGCCAAAGCTCAGTTTTAAAAGACTTATATCCTGATGTTTCTTGTAGCTGCTGATGCGCCCTGATGCTGAGGTTCTGGCAGTTTTAGGAACAGGCAATCAGGCCAAAAGTCATTACGATGTCTTCACAGAAGTATTCCAGTTTAAGGAGGTACCGTATTGAAGGCCACAGCTGCATTCTTAAAAGACCAGTCTCCTCCTCTCATCTCTGATCTGCACAGGTGCGTGTGTGGAGTCGCTCCAAGGATAGAGCGGGCGCCTTTGCCGACTCTCTGACTGGACGAGTTACAGTGTGTGAGTCTGTGGAGGCGGCAGTGAAGGGCGCAGACGTGATAGTAACCGTCACCAGAAGCACAGAGCCAGTGCTGTTTGGTCAGTGGGTCAAGCCAGGGGCCCACGTCGCAGGTAAGTCCATCCGAGTTTACCTGCAACACCTAATCCGGGCTGTGTAATCCAATTGCGTCAAAGGTTATTCAACAGCTGCAGAGTTGGGTCATTGATAACCTTTGTATCAACAGGTCTCCAGATAGTACACATTTTACTTTATTTGCATGTGTAGAAAGATAACATTTGTTCCATTATTGTAATGTTGATGTGCACTTTTTCCCTGTGGAGTAGCAGTAGGCGCGTGCAGACCTGATTGGCGTGAGCTGGACGACACTTTGATGAAGCAGGCGGTGGTGTACGTGGACAGCCGAGAAGGGGCCATGGCGGAGTCTGGAGACGTGCTCCTATCTGGGGTACTTCAGCGCTGTGCAAAAATATGTGCTGAAATATCAGATAATTTAATATTAACATATGCTTTAGGTGGAAGTCTTTGCAGAAGTAGGAGATGTTATTAATGGGACAAAACCAGCCTGCAGAGAAAAGACAACCGTTTTTAAATCCTTAGGTAGGTGTAAGAGTTACACAGTATTATGTGCACTGTCTTTTACACCATTTCCCACAAACAGGTTTGGGAGTTCAAGATGCAGTATCTGCCCAGCTGATCTTTGACAAATGGAAGTCCAAAACCAATTAATTATGAGATGCACACTAAAATCATTAAACGAATAAAGACAATGTTGTATAGAATTTCAGATTTTATTTACTTAAAAAGAAATTTCTGTATTATACTATGTGAAAATAAAACCATGTGTAGCAAGAATAAATGATAGTGTGAAACACTGTTAAAATGATGTACAGCAGCTCCCCAGAGCACTCGCTTTGATCATCGCTCTTCTCAGAAACCTTTCATCAATGTGGACTGCAGGAGGTGTATCACACGTGAAGGAGATAAAACATTGGGTGCTAATACACATGGCTCACAGACTGGAAGAATACAGTAATAGATGAGGTCAAAATGACAGGTTACAAATCAGCAATGTAGTGATTTATATGCGTTCTAAACAAGCTCCAAGAAAAACAAAACTGCATTACAAAAACTGAAGAGGTGACCCTCGCCTTTACATTGTGTACAGTAGAATAACATGACAATGGGCACAGAGATAATAATGGCCATAATCAAAGCAGTGGCTACAACACTTCTTATTAGTAATTTAAGAATACATTTCTTTTTTTTTTTATAATTGGTTAAACTCACTTGATGACAGAGGATTAAAACTGTTAAACACATTAGTGTTCCCATGGTTACTACAGTGTGGTGACCGCTGACTGAGTTTTGGCAGTACATCAGTCTAGTCGAGTGAGAAATGTAAACAAATCAGCCACAGATCAGAGACTGACAACAAAAAAAGGAGAAATTATATTTTCATTTTTAAAAAGAAGTTTCACTATTAAAATGTTCAAGGCAGCAGGAATATCTTAGTGTCATAGTTACTGAAGAGGATCGCATTAGTGTAATTATGGGTTTTGGGTTGGTCAATTTTCAGACGTTTTTAGAAGATACGCCTTATTTTGTTCTCCCTCTTTTTCCTGCGTTAACCTCAAATCATTTCCACACTAAACTTTCACCAGGTCTATATGAACATTATTTTTTGTTGGTCATATGAAAGAACAGGACATCAGCAGTTCTTTGCGATGAATGCTGAAATCTGAAGTTCTTTCAGATGAAGTCTAATCTAGATGTTCACTTAGATGTGAACTGAAACATTGGGAGTCTTCCCTCTCAATAGGCAAGTTAGAATGCAACTGTAGTATACTCCCTGCAACTTCATTACAACAAAAGGCAAGCTCTCCTCTTCTTCTTCATTGGTGGAGGGCACAGGACTGCCCTGATGGCTTCATCAAACACTGTCTTAAGGCCACGCTGGGTCAAAGCTGAGCACTCCAGATACTTTACTGCAGCTGAGGAGCAAACCAAAGAATTTACTTTAGACATTAGGATCTGACAAGTCAAAGCATTTAAGTGTGTACATACTTATTTCTTTAGCCATTGCAAGGCCCTGGGGATAGGTGATTGGGATGAGTTTCTTCTCCTTTAGTTTATCAATTGTGTCCTTGTCATCTCTCAGATCCAGCTTTGTGCCCACCAAAATGATTGGCGTGTTGGGACAGTGGTGTCTGACTTCAGGATACCACTGGGAGTGACAAACAGATAATCAAAAGACTTGAACAACATGTACAAATTGTAGACAACGGTTCTAGTCTTACCTTGGCCCGAACATTTTCAAAGGAGGCAGGACTGACAACTGAGAAGCAAATCAGGAACACATCCTAATGAAAAAAAAGAGGGAAATACTTATACAGTCAACTTGACCTCAAATTGTTTGTGGTTCTTTCTAAAACACAGAGTCCAACTATTGACCGCACAGAGGCCAGATTGTGCTGGAGACAAAGGAGACCAACAAGAGATGCTATTCAGTTGCAGAAATGGTAGAGGTACTGGGACTACAAGTCACTCACTATCAAGTATGAATGCAGTCCATAACTCATCCGTTCAAGTTAGTGTTGTCAATATTGCCCACCCATAGCACAAAGAATCTTATCATACCGTTTGGGGGTAGGACAATGGCCTAAGCCTGTCATAGTCCTCTTGTCCAGCTGTATCCCAAAGACCAAGATTCACAGGTTTTCCATCGACCATAACATTAGCAGAGTAGTTGTCAAAGCTGTTGGCAAAAAGACAAAATATATGCATATTAATTTAAAAAAAGCAACAAAACATTATGAAGCCCTGTTATCTTTCTAGATGCAGCATTGTATTGTGGTGATCCTTACACTGTAGGGATGTACTCTCCAGGGAATGCATTGGTCGTGTAGCTGATGAGAAGGCATGTCTTACCCACAGCCCTGAAATAAGCACAGAACATTAGAATAAAATACTGGAGCGAATACTTCCAGTTAATTATTTAACATTTCCTCATGCTTGTTTACCAGCTTAACAAGAAGAACAGGCTTATCATGAACTTAAGCCTTTGTTATGTCTAAACCAGTGCCAACCGCAATCGAGACAAACATGTCATTATTATCATTTGTCACGTCTTGTTTAAGTGAGTCGTAAAGGCCCTTTGCCAATGCATCAGATTCTAAACTCACAGAACGCATTAATATCAGACTTATTCACTTTGATCCTACAGGGATCTTACCAAGAAAAAAAACTTTTAAAGTTTAAATAAGATTTATTCAAATCTATTTTTATGCTAATCCAGACAATTGGTTTTGAAAAACATACTTGGCGAGTCGCTAGTTCGATGTATATGGAACAGGATAGTCCATGCACCCGGAAAGAGCAGTGGTTAGGCAGAGAGAGGCACCGTGGCCTTTGGACATTTGTTAAAAAGACGAGTCTAAGTCATTCTGTCTGAGTCATGTCCGGGAACGACCTGCTGTGGGCCCAGAGTCACACCTCATTCAGAACATGTCGATAAATCGGAGTGACCCAGCTGGACTGGAAAGTCGGCACAACAACAGCTGTCGGCATATTCTCTGGACCTAGTTAGCTGCTAGCCAACTGTTGCTAACTGGGTCAGCGTTTAAAACACTTACACATAAGAGTCAGAACATAAGAACAAAATACAGGCACAAGTGGTTAAAGTGTGTCAAAGAACCACACTTACCCGTCCCCCACAACCACACACTTGATGGCCTGCATTGGACGGCTCTTTCGGGGGCTTTAACGCAGCTTTCCTCAGTTAGCCGCAGTTAGCTAAAGGCTAAAGGACCGCTCCTCAAAGTACAGCGTGAACAAAGTTCAGAGGCCTCGGTGTTTTCGGGATATTTTGCTTATTTCTGGCGCAGAAATTGTTCTGATTGTCTTTGGCTGTTCCGAGAAGCCTCAGCGAAACTTCAAAACTTGTAAATCAGATGGGCAACACCCAAAAATTGAAGAGTCAAGATTGTGGAAAAACGCCCACAGTAAAGGCTGCAGCGCTGAAGTGTGCAAGTCACATCCGGTCCGAGCGGGCGCAGAACCACGCCCCCCAGTGGACAAGTCTGGAACTACAACAAGAATGTATTCAATGTAGAGAAGGCGACACAGGCCCGCACATGTAAGCCACCACAGGACATTATAGACCACTATAGACCACTATGATAGATACACATGATACATACCACACTTCCACTGTCAATGGGTTTACATTGTCCTAAGTTATTTTATTTTGAACACTATCCAAACTTCATTCATAAGCATATGGATCCTCTAAATAAAAATTTAATTCAGGCCTTTCTAAAATATAAGGACCATAATACAGAAATAGGAATTGTAGAGGAATAGGTAGGTTTTGCTTTAAACACTTAAAAATTGACATCAGAATGCTACATGTTGGCGGAGTAGTTCCTTCTGTACACCAGGGGGTAGCATGTCACCGCGCATGCAAGTACGGAACAATAGTAGAGATGTTTAATAGCCTCTAGGGAACACGTTTGCATTTAAAAAATTATGTACACATGCAAATGTCGAAATCAAATTCAACATATTTTGTGTACCGTTTTTGAATCGTTGTTCTGTTTACACTTTACAGTACAATTCTCTTATTATCAGAACAAATACTTTTTAGGGATGTTTGTAATTTATATTTCCTATGTGAAAAAAGAAAAATGGCCTGAATACATACAAGCAGTCAGAAGAATGGGCTAATGCATGTCTTTTTGTATGCAGACCCCTGTACACTCCAGTCTAGCTGCAAAACCAGAATAATGTGAATGATATTATTTCCAATTTAATATCTGCCTCATTTACAGCTGGACGAGGAATAAGATCCAGTAGATTACTCACTCGGATATGAAAGATTCAACAGCAAACCCTGACATGTGATGGAGTTTTAGGGAAATTATTGGAGTTTCGCAAATGGTTTTGATTTGATAAAAAAGAAAGATAACACAGACTACAGCTGTGTTACAAAACAGCCATGAATATAATGAAACTCATAATAACACAAATATACACAATACACATAATGACAAACATCTCCTGCCTCTGTTCTGTCGCACACTTGGAAACAATTAAGGCACCTATTTAGTCAATTATTACTTGGAAATGTTTCCGTACATATATTGTCATTCATCAAAGTAACAACTGCAGTGCTCACATGTTCCAGCCCCAAGTATATTCTCCCGTGTCTGGAGGTTTCCTCCAGGTGCTCCAGTTTCCCTCACTATTAAGCTACTACTTTTGTCATTTTCTCATTGTAATACAAATACACAGGCATTATTCATGCATTAAAAACCACAGAAAAACACTGTTCAAACTTAATAAAGTTGGATAAATGATGTCTGTTGGACACCAGCACCATCAAAAGCCATTATCCCTTTTTTTTATAAATGTAAACAAGTTTTATTTGTAAACTATTTCAAATTCAGCGCGGTGGAGTGGTGAACGTTTGTGCTTCACTGCAAGAAGGCGCTGGGTTTGATTCCACCTCCAGAAGGGGCTTTATGTGTGGAGTTTGCATATTCTCCCTGTGTCTGTAGGTCATCATAACAATAGTTTATGGATGTGACTGCGGTACTAAAAACAAAGTGATGCCACTGGTCCATATTTGTCTTTGTTCTGTGATTCAGAAATAACATTTTGATAAATATAAATCACTTGATTCCACTAATTTATGAATCTATCTTTCTACAAAGTGCACCTTTGCTTCTGGAAAACCTTGTGCTGCGGAGCAAGTGTGGCTCTGCTGTAATCAGGAGCGGAGCTCTCAGAGCCCTGATGATGCTCAGGAGAGGGACACGGCTCACCATCACACAGCTCACCATCACACAGCTCACCATCACACAGCTCACCATCACACAGCTCACCATCACACGGCTCACCATCACACGGCTCACCATCACACAGCTCACCATCACACAGCTCACCATCACACGGCTCACCATCACACGGCTCACCATCACACGGCTCACCATCACACGGCTCACCATCACACAGCTCACCATCACACGGCTCACCATCACACAGCTCACCATCACACAGCTCACCATCACACAGCTCACCATCACACGGCTCACCATCACACAGCTCACCATCACACGGCTCACCATCACACAGCTCACCATCACACAGCTCACCATCAGCTCACCATCAGCTCACCATCACACAGCTCACCATCACACAGCTCACCATCACACGGCTCACCATCACACAGCTCACCATCACACGGCTCACCATCACACAGCTCAGCATCAGCTCACCATCACACAGCTCACCATCACACAGCTCACCATCACACGGCTCACCATCACACAGCTCACCATCACACAGCTCACCATCAGCTCACCATCAGCTCACCATCACACAGCTCACCATCACACGGCTCACCATCACACGGCTCACCATCACACGGCTCACCATCACACGGCTCACCATCACACAGCTCACCATCAGCTCACCATCACACAGCTCACCATCACACGGCTCACCATCACACGGCTCACCATCACACGGCTCACCATCACACGGCTCACCATCACACGGCTCACCATCACACAGCTCACCATCACACGGCTCACCATCACACAGCTCACCATCACACGGCTCACCATCACACGGCTCACCATCACACAGCTCACCATCACACAGCTCACCATCACACGGCTCACCATCACACGGCTCACCATCACACAGCTCACCATCACACAGCTCACCATCACACAGCTCACCATCACACAGCTCACCATCAGCTCACCATCACACGGCTCACCATCACACAGCTCACCATCACACGGCTCACCATCACACGGCTCACCATCACACAGCTCAGCATCAGCTCACCATCACACGGCTCACCATCACACGGCTCACCATCACACGGCTCACCATCACACGGCTCACCATCACACAGCTCAGCATCAGCTCACCATCACACGGCTCACCATCACACAGCTCAGCATCAGCTCACCATCACACGGCTCACCATCACACAGCTCCCACACTACCTCTGTTATTGCTCTGACCCAAAAAGATTTAAGTGTTTTTCATATGTTTTGTCTGAGACGTAGTGAACTGTGGAGTACGATAAGAGTTTGGGGAATAGGAAGTGGTTTCTTGATTTCTGACACGATCAGAGTGGTCCCAAATGCGGAGCACAGTGGGGTCATTGTATTCTCCTCATTTCTTTTTGTCAGATGGAGGGAAATAATTCAATTCAATTATGGGGCCCTTTCTGGTCCCCGCCCTGTACGTGGTTCTTTTGAACTAAAGTGGAAATGAAGCCCTCTTCCTGTTCTGGTTAACAGCTGATGCAGAAACTTCTTCTAAGTCTGTTGATGAGTGCAGACTGTGCTCGTTGCTGGTCTGATCGCTGTGGGCTTGTCTCTTCTGTTTAATGAGAGGCAAATGAAACAACCCCAACTTTCTGTAGAGTCAGGATTTGTTTATGCTTAGAGCAACCTAAGACCATTAAAGTTCTAATTTAGGAATATTTAGTTGAAAGCAGAATTAAGGACTGGATATAAAAACACTGTGACTGAGACTTTTTAAAGGGATTTATAGTCTCCCCAACAGTTCAAGGATCTTCATAAATAAGAAACTTCATGTATATCTAATGGTAAATATATTGAGGAAGTATGTTGTGATGAGGGGTGAGAATGTGTCACGGACATCACATCGGCTGCTTGTTTTATGTGACAGAGCAAAGTGTCTGCAGTGAGATCACTATAGAGCCATTGTGATGGGAAACCCCCAAAACCAACACATGTTTTAGAAGAGTATTTGAACTTTTGCAAACCAGTCTTTGTGTTTGAGTGGATGCATGTAATCTGCTGTGTTACATGTAATTACATACACGCTCTATATTATATCTGAAATTCCCCTTTATATGGCTCGGTCCATGTTCACTTAATACAAATGGAGAAAAAAAAATATTTTTTAATAATAATCCCTAATTTAAAAATCAGAATATTGATCAAAAATGTAATTAAAATATTCCCCTTCATCCATTTCTGGGTCGGGGGGTGGCAGTCAGAGCGGCACCCAGGTCATAGAGCACCAGCCCCTCGCTGCTCCTCCTGCAGGTGCTGAGTCCACAGGAGTCTTGATCTTTGAGCGGGGGCTTCAGGCAAAGTGGGGTTAAGTGTCTTGCCCGAGGACACAACGACAGCAGTCACCAGTGGGAGTCGGTGGAGTAGATCTCGTGGTGGGACCGAACACACGACCTTCAGGCTCAAAGGCCAATGCTCTACCAACTGAAAATGTGAAATCCACACATGACACAGACACCTTTGTTAATGTTGATCCATCTTCAAAATATTCTCCTTTTCTGAGATGTTTTATTTGGGTTTTGAGCCGATAATCATCATTACTAATAATGGCTTGAGTCTGTCATTTATTAGTTAACTTTCAAAGAAGTAAATGTACTTTTTCATCTTTTTGTTCAGACTCTAAAGCAAAGCAAGTCACTTCTGCAACACTTTTGTAATGTCCTAAAAAGTAAAAGTGACATGACGTGTGGAGGGTGGAGGAGGAAAATGAGCTGACATCACTTCCCCTTCCACTGGTCTTGTATTGTCCCCTGTTGGGATGTTCTATCGGGGCCTTTCTCTCCCTCCCTTTCCTGGACGGAGCCACATGCAGGGTCCAGCCGTGGGTCAGTGTTCCCATCAGGCAAACATGAGTCACACAAAGCCGGGGTGAGACGGTGACGATCCAGCCGAGTATTTGTTTATTTAGGGAGCATTTATTGATTGACTGCGGAACCTTCCGCAGTCAACCATTGGTTTTGTATTTCTTTATTCCGTCATTTTTTTTGACACGTTTCACAGCTTTAGGGTTTTTACATGTAAACCAGTATAATGGAACTTAATAGGGGTTTTTACATGTAAACCAGTATAATGCAACTTAATAGGGTTTTTACATGTAAACCAGTATAATGCACCTTAATAGGGATTTTTACATGTAAACCACTATATTGTAACCTAATAGGGGTTTTTACATGTAAACCAGTATAATGCAACTTAATAGGGATTTTTCACATGTAAACCAGTATAATGCAACCATAATAGGGATTTTTCCATGTAAACCAGTATAATGCAACTTAATAGAGATTTTTCCATGTAAACCAGTATAATGCAAACTTTCAATAGGGATTTTTCCATGTAAACCATATAATGCAACCTAATAGGGATTTTTCCATGTAAACCAGAGCTATTTTTCAATCGCAATGGCTAAACCAGTAAGTTTCAAGTTGAATATACACGTCATTTTACATCGGAAACGGACATGACAGAAGTAAAAGAAAGTGATGAGATGGGGGAAGATATGAAATACTGGTTGGCCTGTTAAGCTTTAAAAACATTCTATAATCTATAATTAGATTGGGATAAATTTAGAATAATAGATAGATACTTTATTGATCCCCATCCATCCATTCATTTTCTACCCCTTAATCCATTTCTGGATTGTGGGGGTGGCCAGAGAGTCCACCCAGTACACATAGCACCAGCCCCTCACTGATCCTCCTGCAGGTGCTGAGTCCACAGGAGGATGGCCGCTCTATGGCATAACCTTGATCTTTCAGTGGGGGCTTCAGGCAAAGTGGAGTTAAGTGTCTTGCCCAAGGACACAACAACAGCAGTCAGCAGTGGGAGTCGGTGGAGAAGGTCTCATGGTGAGCTCAAACCCACAACCTTTAGGCTCAAAGGCCAATGTTCTACCGACTGAGCTACTGTCAACAACAATGATTGATTGGTTGATCTATTCTCCATGAAGCCTACTGAGTGACTTGATACTGAGTGATCTAAAAGCTAAACAAATGTAGATATATAGTTTTTTTTAACATAAAAAATTACATTCAACAGGGAGAGCTTATTTTATTATTATAAAATTATTTATTTATTTATTATAAACGGGACAGTGCACATTAATCAACATTATACAATGTAAATGTGCCAGAGTTGGCTAAATTAAGTTAATTTTTATCGGTAGTGCCTGGCCAGAGGTTAAGGCCAGGCTAACAATAAAAATTAAGAACACACTTCAATTCACAAATAAAATACAGTACATTAACATTGAAAACTAAAACAACACATTTTCCGTACAGTTCAGTGGTCACAAGTCTGTGTCTCCAGGAGGTACAACAGTAAAAATATTGTGAATAAATTAAATCCATGTTTTCTTTTTCTTCAACAGTAAAAGCATTGTTGTGTGATCTGTGTTTGTGTCTAAAACACACAAACCTGAACTCAAGTCGTATGAGCTGGACCAGAATCCTCTTGAAAAACCACAAGAAGCACTTCCTCTTTCAGAAGCTTCACAAACTCTGCTGCGACTTCTCATATCCGAAAGTCATCAATACTTTACGTTACTTCTTTAAATCCAGACTTTTTGTTGACGTCTGATGGTGTTTTGTTAAAAAATTTTGATTAAAAATATATTTTCATGATTATTGATTGTTTGTTATTATTCACTTGTGTTCATATAGTATGTATTTATATTTTAACCCATGGTTTCCCCAATCATTTGGTAGATCACTCTTTGAGTCTACTTAAAACCTGGAGCTGAAATCCACCTCATCGGGGAATCTCTATCACTTAGTTACAGGCACCTTTACCATCAAACTGAATGGTAAAAAAAAACATAACACAAAAGACAAAAGAATGCATTGCTTTCTTCAAGGAGTGAGTGTTAAACGGTTATAGTTTATTTTATTTCTCTCATTATTTTTTTAATTGTGTATGCATTATTAGGATTATGATTATTACATGTATTACTTCTGTTGTTAATTTATGTATTTTCTTTTTTTACACATATTTTTTTCCATTTATCATAAGTATTATCATAAATACTCTCCGTGATGATGATTGTTGTTACTGTTACTGTAGTATTTTTGGATTCATTCAGTCCGTTTCTCCCCCCTCTGTCGGTGCGAGGGGGAGGCAGAGGGGGAGGTTGTGGGCGGTCCTTGCTGACGTCCCTCCCTCTCGCTCAGCCCCAGTGTTGAATGCAGTCGGAGGATGGAGCAGAGACGCACAGACACATCTCATCTCATCTCACCCTCATCCGAGACACGCGTTCATGACAACAACTCATTTTAAACCTCATTTTGATCTTTTCTGACATTAGTTTGAGGCTGACGTCTGCGGCCGCTGCACTTGACTCCATCCGGCCACAGCTTCCACCGGCTTCGCGGGGAGGAAAACCACCCAAACACCTCCTGGACGGAAGAAAAAGCTTCAGATCGCGGCTATAATCAGACACGTTTTCAGTTTTGGGGGGATATCTGTCACTGCCACAATCAAAATGGACGAAGACAACCACGGTGAGGCTGTTTTGCATCTCCTCACCTTCTGTATTGCTACTTGTGAGCTGGAGGAGGATGGGTGGAGGAAACCAATTGATGGATGTGTGTGTGAGAGAGAGTCAGAGGCTGCATGTATCGATGTCTGTGGCTTCATCCTTCCAGCTGTTGTGGTTAAATGCTCTAAAAGTCGCGCTGTGGGTCTTTGCATGCTTTCCCATTCATTTTATAGGCTCTTGTTATCACAGATTTATTACCTGCAGACTCCAAAGTTGCTGCTGCCTCTGTCTCTCTGAGCTGTTTGAAGCCTCCACATGGATAAGATAGTGGTAGTATTTATAAGGGGCATGCAGATAGTTTTCACACACTCACACAAAACAGGAACTGACATCACTATGCTGAGAATTTACAACAAGATTAGGAACCAAGATAAAGAAGAAAGTATGTGTGTAATATGTGTTAACTAGTATTGTGCTTTTTGAGGATGGTAATGACGAGTGTCTGCAGCTACATGTGGGATTAGAGGATGCATGGCAGCTGCAGAGAGCCTTATCTGCCATTTACAGTGATAACACGTATTTGCTGTAAGCCTAAAGCAGCGATAAATTATGCAAACTGGAGTAAGCCTTGAAGCCGCTGTACAGTGTAAACAACAAGTGGCCACTATCTGATAACTGCACGTCGGTTAAACTGTGTGAAGCCAAGAAAACCCTCACCTCCAGTTCCTCTTTTTACTTCCTTAGCCCTGCGTCTTTGCATAAACACATTTCCTATTCCTTAGCCTTTTTACTGACCTTTGTGTGCAATTATTATGGTCTCATAGGAAGATGAGGAAGCAGAATGTGGATTAAGAAAAAAAACGATTTCACTTTAGTGGCTGTGTCCTCCATCATCATATTGTGAAAAAACTAGTAATGGCAAAAGATTCATTTCAATATTAATAGAGCTGTAACAATAATCTAGCTAAGGTTGCAGCTATTTGATTCTCTGATCTGTTTGTAAAGTCCTTCCAGACGACTGATGCTGTGATTCTGGGTGGTTTTCTACAGCACTTATTCGGTCGTGATAAACTACTATTGTAGCCACATCTGCCCCACACCTCCCCAGAATATGTCATTGACCCATCACAGTACTGACCAGACCCTGCCCTGCTTAGCTTCAGAGGTCTGATGGGATCTGGTTTTCACCTGCAGGTACAGCAGCATTCTCTGTCGTTGAGGACTTGACAAGTTTGTAAAGTTCTCCAAGAGGATTTCTGTTTTAATTGAGGGCTGTGCAAAAATATCATTGAATTGAATGTTTTCAATAATCAACAACTCGTCATTGATTAATCGCTAACTGCTCCAACAGTCTCCAACAGTCTCTAACAGTCTCCAACAGTCTCCAACAGTCTCCAACAGTCTCCAACAGTCTCCAACAGTTTCCAACAGTCTCTAACAGTCTCTAACAGTCTCCAACAGTCTCTAACAGTCTCCAACAGTCTCCAACAGTCTCCAACAGTCTCTAACAGTCTCCACCAGTCTCCAACAGTCTCCAACGGTCTCCAACGGTCTCCAACGGTCTCCAACGGTCTCCAACGGTCTTCAACAGTCTTCAACAGTCTCCAACAGTCTCTAACAGTCTCCAACAGTCTCCAACAGTCTCCAACAGTCTCCGACAGTCTCCAACAGTCTCCAACGGTCTCCAACAGTCTCCAGTCTCCAACAGTCTCCAACAGTCTCCAACGGTCTCCAACGGTCTCCAACGCTCTCCAACGGTCTTCAACAGTCTTCGACAGTCTCCAACAGTCTCTAACAGTCTCCAACAGTCTCCAACAGTCTCCAACAGTCTCCAACAGTCTCCAACAGTCTCCAACAGTCTTCAACAGTCTCCAACAGTCTCCAACAGTCTCCAACAGTCTCCAACAGTCTCCAACAGTCTCCAACGGTCTCCAACAGTCTCCAGTCTCCAACAGTCTCCAACGGTCTCCAACGGTCTCCAACGGTCTCCAACGCTCTCCAACGGTCTTCAACAGTCTTCAACAGTCTCCAACAGTCTCTAACAGTCTCCAACAGTCTCCAACAGTCTCCAACAGTCTCTAACAGTCTCCAACAGTCTCCAACAGTCTCCAACAGTCTCCAACAGTCTCCAACAGTCTTCAACAGTCTCCAACAGTCTCCAACAGTCTTCAACAGTCTCCAACAGTCTCCAACAGTCTTCAACAGTCTCTAACAGTCTCCAACAGTCTTCAACAGTCTCCAACAGTCTTCAACAGTCTCCAACAGTCTCTAACAGTCTCTAACAGTCTCCAACAGTCTCCAACGGTCTTCAACAGTCTCCAACAGTCTCCAACAGTCTCCAACAGTCTTCAACAGTCTCCAACAGTCTCCAACAGTCTACAACAGTCTCTAACAGTCTCCAACAGTCTTCAACAGTCTCCAACAGTCTTCAACAGTCTCCAACAGTCTCTAACAGTCTCTAACAGTCTCCAACAGTCTCCAACGGTCTTCAACAGTCTCCAACAGTCTCCAACAGTCTCCAACAGTCTCCAACAGTCTCTAACAGTCTCCAACAGTCTCCAACAGTCTTCAACAGTCTCCAACAGTCTCCAACAGTCTTCAACAGTCTCCAACAGTCTTCAACAGTCTCTAACAGTCTCAAACAGTCTCCAACAGTCTCCAACAGTCTCCAACAGTCTCCAACAGTCTCCAACAGTCTCTAACAGTCTCTAACAGTCTCTAACAGTCTCTAACAGTCTCCAACAGTCTTCAACAGTCTCCAACAGTCTTCAACAGTCTACAACAGTCTCTAACAGTCTCTAACAGTCTCCAACAGTCTCCAACGGTCTTCAACAGTCTCCAACAGTCTCCAACAGTCTCCAACAGTCTCCAACAGTCTCCAACAGTCTTCAACAGTCTCCAACAGTCTCCAACAGTCTTCAACAGTCTCCAACAGTCTCCAACAGTCTCCAACGGTCTCCAACAGTCTCCAGTCTCCAACAGTCTCCAACGGTCTCCAACGGTCTCCAACGGTCTCCAACGCTCTCCAACGGTCTTCAACAGTCTTCAACAGTCTCCAACAGTCTCTAACAGTCTCCAACAGTCTCCAACAGTCTCTAACAGTCTCCAACAGTCTCCAACAGTCTCCAACAGTCTCCAACAGTCTTCAACAGTCTCCAACAGTCTCCAACAGTCTTCAACAGTCTCCAACAGTCTCCAACAGTCTTCAACAGTCTCTAACAGTCTCCAACAGTCTTCAACAGTCTCCAACAGTCTTCAACAGTCTCCAACAGTCTCTAACAGTCTCTAACAGTCTCCAACAGTCTCCAACGGTCTTCAACAGTCTCCAACAGTCTCCAACAGTCTCCAACAGTCTCCAACAGTCTCCAACAGTCTCTAACAGTCTCCAACAGTCTCCAACAGTCTTCAACAGTCTCCAACAGTCTCCAACAGTCTTCAACAGTCTCCAACAGTCTTCAACAGTCTCTAACAGTCTCAAACAGTCTCCAACAGTCTCCAACAGTCTCCAACAGTCTCCAACAGTCTCCAACAGTCTCCAACAGTCTCTAACAGTCTCTAACAGTCTCTAACAGTCTCTAACAGTCTCTAACAGTCTCCAACAGTCTTCAACAGTCTCCAACAGTCTTCAACAGTCTACAACAGTCTCTAACAGTCTCTAACAGTCTCCAACAGTCTCCAACGGTCTTCAACAGTCTCCAACAGTCTCCAACAGTCTCCAACAGTCTCCAACAGTCTCCAACAGTCTCTAACAGTCTCCAACAGTCTCCAACAGTCTTCAACAGTCTCCAACAGTCTCCAACAGTCTTCAACAGTCTCCAACAGTCTCCAACAGTCTCCAACAGTCTCCAACAGTCTTCAACAGTTTCCAACAGTCTCCAACAGTCTTCAACAGTCTCCAACAGTCTCCAACAGTCTTCAACAGTCTCTAACAGTCTCCAACAGTCTCCAACAGTCTCCAACAGTCTCCAACAGTCTCCAACAGTCTCCAACAGTCTCCAACAGTCTCTAACAGTCTCTAACAGTCTCTAACAGTCTCTAAAAGACTCCAACTGTCTCCAACAGTCTCCAACAGATGTGAGACGAGATAATAAACTTCAAACAGAGCAGTCATTACAAACACACAAACATGTAACTATAATATAGTTTTGTTTGAACCATGTCCTTCAGCGGACCCACAGCAGTCCCCAGAACCACAGATTGAGAACCACTGCTCTATTAAACCATTTATGCACATACTTCAGATCCACTCCAGTGAAGAGTTCTGTCAGAGAAAAGGGCCAAAGACAGGACGCTGCCGGTCACATGTGTGCGTCATGTGACAGGATAGAGCACAACATCTCAGTCTGTGCGTTAAGAGTAACGGTGCAAACTGTTCAAATAACTCTGACACACATACACACACACACACACACACACACACACACACACACACACACGCACACGCACACGCACACACATATAACACTTCACTTAACATACCCCACACCTCGTTGGGCCAGCACATATCTTCACAGTCAAATCAGTTCTGAGGAGCAGCGCTAACCGGGTCAAAGCGATCATTCACATCGCTGCCTTTGTCACATTTGGAGACAAGATGTTTACGTTGTAAGTTAAAAGGGCCTCAGTGTGCTCCGCCTGCGTGTAAAACCTTGTACACACGCCTGGTCCACTGCACATCCAGAACATCGTGGAATTAGCTTTGTGTCATTGCACCGTGCTAGAACTGCAGAGATCTCCATATCGCTCGCTGTGATGTCCCTGCACTCCTGTCCAGCGTAATCACAGACTCAGAGGAACCTAGAACTATCAGTGTGTATCGCAGTGTGCGGAGCGACTCTGTGGAACGGATCAGCGGAGGATTTAAAAATATGTTCAAACCATAGACTGTAAATATTAATGGATGTAGTCACGCCTGTCTCTGCCGTTGAAACTAATGTGCCGCCACTTTGGCCTGTGGGCAGTTTCAAAAGAAAAATGTGAAAAAACGCATTTGCGCCTGCGTTAGCCGACATGAGTCCAGTC